GGGAAATAATGAAAAAACGAAATTGCAGAAGTACAGAAGACGGAATGGCGCTAAGAGGAGTGGAGAATTGTAAGAAAAGTGTTTAAATCTCATATCTACTACACCCAGTACAGTATACAGCAAGGTTTACACCGATTACAATATACAGGAAGCCTTAAATCCATTACAGTACATTACAGCACATTACAGTACATTACAGTACATTACAGTACATTACAGTACATTATACGATCCCCCAATAGTGAAACAATTACTTCGAAACCTCAAAAAGTATTCAGTGACAGCAATAAAGTTGATGAAAGTGCCGAATCTTTAAAAAGTATCGAGTTACAGTCACTTGAATGATGGTTATTATGTGGATGAAAAGAGGCCGAAGAGACAACTGGCTATGAGCTGAGAAGAGAACTTTGTGAGAGACTATAGGGGACAGGTAGTAAAAAAGATTTGGCGGAAAAGAAGAGACACCATTCCCACCACATGTCCAATTCTTAACGCCATATGGGAAAAGGGGAGCAAAGAAAAAAAAGAACCCAGCTTTTTGTGAATAAAAAGAGCTAAGATTTGAGTTAACATGTGGTATGTAAAGTCGTAAAGTCGCGTAGTCGTTACTGGTTCAGTGATAGGTTGTGTTGCGTTTGCGCAGAGATAGATAGACAGATAGAGAGATAGATAGACAGACAGCTAGATAGACAGATAGACAGACAGACAGACAGACAGGCAGATAGACAGACAGACAGACAGACAGACAGACAGACAGCTAGATAGACAGACAGACAAACAAACAGGCAAACAGACAGACAGAACAAATACTTGATTACGGTGGGACGCTTTGGAGCTTAAAAGGAGTAGGAGCTTAAAATGTCTTGAAAAATAATGAAATTTAAATCCCTTGACTCCATTACTTTAGGAATTAATTAGTGGCTTGCAAGAGCTAATAAAACTGAACAAAAGAATGTACTCACAAGGGAATGGTTGAAGCTTGGAGCTCACAGCTCAAAGCTTGGAATCGACTGGAAACACAATAAAATAGAATCGGCAATGGCGAACAAAATGCGACAAAATTTAGCCGCTAATATCCACAGAAACGCGTGGAATCTGGGATGCAAAAACGGGATTTAAAACTGATCCCTTTATAAAGCTTTGCCGGACAGAGACGAGCTCGTGGTCTCTTGGCCCTCGTGGCCAAGTGGATAGAGGACTAGTCGATGAAATGGCGGTCGATTTTCCGGCTACTAGCGGACTAGTCGATGAAATCGTGGTTTTTCCCTTGGGTTCAATTCCACATGCTTTGCGATTCTTGGAACTATTTCCTTTTTAAAGCAAACTAAATTTTGCTGTTGGAGATCGTGAATGTCGATCTTTTGCATTAAAATCTTCCTCGCAATCACAAATAGTCACAAATTTCTTCGATCTCCGTTCAAATTCCCCTTTCAACTTCCGATTTGCAAATGCATGTGAACAGAATTGAACCCAAGGCCAAAAATAGGCCATTGGCCATTTCATCGACTAGGCCTTTATCCACTAGGCCACGAGCTCATCTCTAGCCGGCATCTCCAGAAAAGCTTTATAAAGGGAACAGTTTTAAATCCTGATTTTGTATGCCTCATTTTTCCGTCGCTATTAGCTAAAAAACACTACCGTAATACCTGTAATAGTCCGTATAGTCGCGTAGTGCCGTATAGTCATAGTGCGTAGTCCCGTATAGTCGTGTAGTGCCGTATAGTCGTGTAGTCCCGTGTAGTCGTGTAGTCCCGTGTAGTCCCGTAGTCCCGTGTAGTCCCGTAGTCCGGTATAGTCGTGTAGTCCCGTGTAGTCCCGTAGTCCGGTATAGTCCCGTAGTCCGGTATAGTCCTGTAGTCCGGTATAGTCCCGTAGTCCGGTATAGTCCCGTAGTCCGGTATAGTCCCGTAGTCCGGTATAGTCGTGTAGTCCCGTATAGTCGCTAGTCCCGTATAGTCGCAAGTCCCGTATAGTCGTGTAGTCCCGTATAGTCGTGTAGCCCCGTATAGTCATGTAGCCCCGTATAGTCATGTAGCCCCGTATAGTCGTGTAGCCCCGTATAGTCGTGTAGTCCCGTATAGTCGCGTAGTCCCGTATAGTCCCGTGTAGTCGCTAGTCGCGTAGGCAAACACAGAATTTTCTGACGCTCGTTTCTTTGACGCTTCGACGAAAAATGTGCGCTTAGATATCAAAAGAGAGTGCTTGAAGCGAAGAATTTTTTTTGGTACTAAGCGTTTCGAAAAATCTTGGTGCATTCAAAAAAAACTGATTTCCTTTAGCGACTACGCGACTGTACGTTGGGAGTAGCGCTCCTCTCTGTATAGTCGCGTAGTCAAACCCAGAATTTTTTAACGCTACTATAACAGGTATTACGGTAGGTTTAAAGCTTGTTTAAAGCGATAAATAATCGACTTTGAAAGCGCTAAATAATCTTTAAACAAAACACTCCATAAGTATTGAAGACTGGTTACTGGTTAAAGACATAGCTGTTGATGTGATGGTGGACGGGTGTGAAGGGGACTCGTTCATCAGTGCCGGATGGCAATATCCGTTTTTGGGCTTCCTTCTTGAGCCTACCCCTTCTCGATGTCACAGGTCGTCGGTCTCCCGAGGGTAATTACCCCATCTCGTGTTGAATACACAACGAAGCGCCCCTCCTTTTCCCCCTTTTTCTTCGCTGCCCGTCTTAGTGATCGACTTCTTTCATTCCACATACACCACTATCGTTGATGGGATAAAATTAGTCTTTTAGCGGCTACCGCGTGAAAAGAAGAAAGGATGAGATGAGAATTTCTAGGGAATTGGAAAATGTGAAAAGTGATAATGTGTGGAAATGGATCGAAGCTTTTATTGAAAATAAATGGAATTAAAGAAAGAAAAGAATAAAGAAATAAAAGTTGGTTAAAAGGAAACAAACAAAATTCGCGGGATAGGCTAGGCTAGCAACTTTTTTTGTGCAACAGGGCGCAACTGGGTCGTGCGCGCAACTGGGTCTGTAGAAAAAAAAGGAACCAAATCTGTAGAGAAAAAGAATCAAATCTGTAGAGAAAAGGAATCAAATCTGTAGAGAAAAAGAATCCAAATCTGCGCAACTGGAGCATTCGCGCAACTGGAGCATTCGCGCAACTGGAGCATTCGCGCAACTGGAGCATTCGCGCAACTGGAGCATTCGCGCAACTGGAGCATTCGCGCAACTGGAGCATTCGCGCAACTGGAGCATTCGCGCAACTGGAGCACTCGCGCAACTGGAGCATTCGCGCAACTGGAGCATTCGCGCAACTGGAGCATTCGCGCAACTGGAGCATTCGCGCAACTGGAGCATTCGCGCAACTGGAGCATTCGCGCAACTAGCCATAACTTTCTTCTAAGTCAGCCAATCTTTATGATTTTGATTTCATTTTGTAGATCTCAATAAGTGCAACTGAATCTCCTCTTGAATGAATGAATGAATGAATAAATTAATTTTGTGCTTTGCTTTACGACTTTTCAATTACAGTAACCCTTTCAATTGGATTCTGATATTCAGTTAATTCATTGCAATAGCATTTTCATCAAACACTTTTTTTTTGCTATATTTATGGGGTGCTGCGGAAAAGCGTTAAGTTGCGTAGTTTTTGCCTTTTAGCCCAAATTTGACGTGTCAGCGAGGTCTGACTTGTCGAAATTCTGAATCTACGTATACGATTCCCTTCTATGAACACATTTTTGAAGCTCTACGACCTTTCCTAAGGCCTTTTCCAGCAAAAAAAAAGGTGCGCAAATGTCCAGGTGCGCAAAAAAAAAGATCGCATTTGTCCCACCCCCCTAATTTTCGCTATTTTATTTGCCCAACTCGCCATAACTTTCTTCTAATTCTAATCTTTATGATTTTGATTTCATTTTGTAGATCCCAAGACGATGGACCTGGTGCTCATCCAACGATCACCAAAGGAGAAGAAGCTCGCCCACGACTTCTCGATACTGCCACAACTCCTCAGGGATAAGGATTGGATAAATTGGGGTTGGCTACTTTGCGCCAAATTCGTTGCCCAACTCGCCATAACTTTTTTCTAATCCGGTCAATCTTTATGATTTTGGTCTCATTTTGTAGATCTCAATAAGTGCAACAAAATGAGATCAAAAGCATAAAGATTGGTCCACTTAGAAAAAAGTTATGGCGAGTTGCGCAAAAAACTGTTGTGGAAAAAAAATTTCCCGATTTCCCACCGCCCCTAAATTTCCTAACGGTTTTTAATGAGCATTTTTACGCGTCGTTGAGGGTTGGACCTGATACCCATACCTCAATAAGTACGCACAAAGGTACACTCATACCTCAGAGGTACCATTAAACTTGCGCAAATGACCCTGTTGCTCAAAAAACAATGCGGAAAATAGCCTACCCCAAATTCGCATTAAAAATAAATCGAAATTTATGAAATTTGCAAATGAAAATTGAAAATTTACATTTAAATTCAAACTTTTCGCTCTCTTATTCTTTCATTTTCATTTTCTCAACTTCGGACAACGTAAATCGGTGAGTTTTTTTAACGATCTTTCTTTTTGTTTTGTTTTAAAAACTTAAATCAATTGATTCTGTTAGTTATTGATCATTTTATTTGGCTAGAATTAGAAAGAAACTAGTTAATGACTAGTTAGTGACTAGAAAAGACTAGTTAATGACTAGAAAAGACTAGTTAAAGACTAGTTAGTGACTAGAAAAAGACTTTGACGGCAATATTTTCGCCAAATTCCCCCTTTTTTTAACTAAATTTTTGATTTTTACCTTTAAAATATAAAAAGATCAAATAAATAGCTTGATCTTGATCAAATAAACAGCTTGATCAAGGAAATTTGACTTTATAACGTTCTTGATCTTGAAATTAGTGAAACTTCAAGCTTAAAATGTATTTGGTTCGAAATGAGTACTTATTGATGCATGCTATATACATGCTAGCTATAAATTTATCTATGCTAAAACTTCTTTATACTGAAATGCGTCATTACTTTGATTTAGTGAAACGATGGACGAAGATGAGGTGAAGAAAACGATGAAAACGGCTGAGAGTGGAGCGAATGGTGAAGGAAAGCAGCGATTGCTCGACGAATTGAAGCGAGCCAAACGACTCAAATCGCACAGGGCAGCGGTGGGGTTTTTAAAAATCGATTATTATTGTCTTATGGTTAAGTAAAAGATAAGTAGACAGTGCTTTGAGAAACTTGAACCTAAAAAGCTGCAACTTTTCGTAGGATTCGATTCTGATAAAATGAAATTGTTTATTTTTTGTCTATTCGGGTCACAAATTTGAAACTTTATAGATGAAAAGCTTCTTTATAAACAAAAAGCTATAATTAGTTATATAAAAATAGATAAAATAATTAAGTAATGCGGCTCTTAAAGAACTAGTGTCCTAAAGTAATAAAGTAACTTCTTAAACATAGTTGTAAACAAAATAAAAAGAAAGCTATAATTGTGTTAAAGCTGTTAAAGAACTAGTGTCCTAAAGTAACAAAGTAACTTCTTAAACATAATTGTAAACAAAATAAAAAGAAAGCTATAATTGTTTTAAGTAACGCGGCTCTTAAAGAACTAGTGTCCTAAAGTAACCTAAAGTAACTTCTTTAACATAATTGTTGATAAAAATAAGCTATAATTGTTTAAGTATTAACTATAATTGTTTTAAGTAACGCGGCTCTTAAAGAACTAGTGTCCTAAAGTAATAAAGTAGCTTCTTAAGCATAATTGTAAACAATATAAACAGAAAGCTATAATTGTTTTAAGTAACGCGGCTCTTAAAGAACTTAAAGTGTCCTAAAGTAACTTCTTTAACATAATTGTTGACAAAAATAAGCTATAATTGTTTTAAGTAACGCGGTTTAAAAAAAGGAAAGAAAAAGGAAATTTTAAAAAAAAGTTGTAAAAAGAAAAAAAAGGAAGAAAAAAATTTTTTTAATTAAAAAAGTTTTTTTAAAAAAATTTTTTTAAAAATTTTTTTTTTTTTATTTTTTTTAAAAAAAAAATAAATTTTTTTTTTTTTTTTTTTTTTTGAAAAAAAAAAAAAAAAAAAAAAAAAAAAAAAAAAAAAATAAAAAAAAAAAAAAAAAAAAAAAAAAAAAAGGGAAAAAAGAGTTTAAACAATTGTAAAAAAAAAATTAAGCTATAATTGTTTTAAGTAACGCGGCTCTTAAAGAACTAGTGTCCTAAAGTAACAAAGTAACTTCTTAAACATAGTTGTAAACAGAATAAACAGAAAGCTATAATTGTGTTAAAGCTGTTAAAGAAATTAAAATGTCCTAGAGTAACAAAGTAATTTATTAATTTTCCTTTTCAGTTTAACTCCCGAGAAGAGCTTGTCGAGGATCGGACGCAATGTGAGGAAGCGTTTCATTTTGAATAATGTTTCTTTTTAGCATCATTCATTGCGAAACACTATGAAACAGATATGGGTTTGTTAAAGAATTTTTGCTATGAATTATTTTTTTAGATGTTGAGACGGCGCGCGAATTGCAAAAGGTCGAGAAGCAACCACTTGGAGAACTCTCAGTCACTGGAACAGGTTCAGCCAGCAACGAGTCGACCGATGTCGTCAAGAAAGGCGATCCATCAAAGAAAAGTATAGTTTTTGCAAGTTGTAAACTTTTTTTAAATTAATTTTAATTGTGTAATTTTGTAATTGTAAAATTGTAAAATTATAAAATTGTAATTCTAGAATTGTAAAAGCTTGGTTTTCCCTTGTAGCTCTTAAAACGCTCTTAAAACGGCTTCTCCTTGTAGCTCCAGCTCTTAAAATGGATGGAAATTCGTAGAGTAACAGAGAAAGTTAGCCGATCTTCAACTAGTACTTCGATCTTCAACCTAATTGTGTCCTAATCTCTACCGATAGATAATATATTTGTTTTTTAGCCCGCGAACATTTCTCTTCTACCATCACCTATTTGCTGACGACGATCGGCTGTGCGGTGGGCCTTGGAAACGTTTGGCGTTTTCCCGCAGAAGCAGCCGCGAATGGAGGAAGTAAGGAATTAGATTTCAACGAGTCAATTTTTGATTTAGTTGTCTTCATGATCCCGTACTTTATCTGCACATTTTTCGTCGGCATCCCGATTCTCTACTTTGAGTCATTCATCGGACAATTCACACAGGTTAACTTGGATTTTCTTCAATTGAAATTCTTTTTAGAACGGAAACGGCAAATGCTTCTTTCTTTACATGCCAGCCGCAGCTGGACTCGGAATCGCTCAAGTGATTTTAACTATTCACTATGTAAAATTCAAAACTTTAGTACATTTTGGTGTTTCTTCTAGCCGCTTTCTACTATGTTATCACAGGATGGTCGTGCATTTATTTGTAACTTTTATGATTTCCAATTATTTATTGAAATGTTTAGGATGTTCATTCTTCTCGAGGATCATCAGCGCTGGACTCGATGTGACAATTCATGGAATACGCCCAGTAAATTGAAATTTTACTTCTAGAAAATGCATTTTGTTTAGATTGCCGCTCGGAGATCAATGACCGCGAATGCCCGGAGGGAGCTTATTTTGTGAAAGGATTGAACTGCATCAATACCTTGAACAACACCTTGAACAATACCTTGAACAACACCTTGAACAGCACCTTGAACAGCACAGGACCAATCGTCTACCCGTCACAAGAACTTCTGATGTAAGTTTTGAGTAAGGTTCATCGGATTCAAAGACCCTTTTTAGGAACTATGTTTGGGATTCGAGGGACGGACCATTCACCTTGGGATTCAACAACAAAGTGCTTGGTATGTTTGCTTGGTATTTAATCCAACCTATAATAAAATGTTTTTTTTTTCAGTTATCATGGCTTTCCTCTGGCTTATCGCCTACTTGATTGCTTGGAAAGGTGTCAAAGTGATGGGCTACGTTTCCTATTTTACTACGATTGCGCCATACGTTGTTGTTTGTAGGTTTTATCTGTTTTTCAAGATCAATCAAACTTTAGTGATTCTGTGTCTCTTTGGTTTCACACGAGAGGGCTTTGCCGATGGAATAGCATTCTTTATTATCAAAGCGGATTTCGCAAAGCTATATCAGCCAAAGGTAGCGTGATTTTTTTTCATTTAAAGCATTTCTGGGGTTAATATACGTAATCTTACACTGACACTATGTATTTACGGTTTTGTTAAGGTGTGGGGCGCCGCGTTTAGTCAGATGTGCCTATCGTTGTCGCTCGGTTATGGTGCTCATCCAACTCTCGGCTCATTCAATCCAATCGGGCACAATTCGTTGAGGGTGAGAGCATTTTTGGGATTAAAATTTGTTTAACAAACTTAATTTGATCATTTCACAAGTAAATGTTTTAGGATGCCGTTCTGATCATCGCTGCTGACACGGTGATGTCTCTTCTTGGCGGACTGGCGATGTTCTCGATTCTTGGCAATTTCGCGTGTCAAAAAGGAATGAGTATGGTCGATTTGATGCAAAAAGAACTTGGAGCTGGTAAACCTTTAAAGCTTAAAGCTTAAAGCTTAAAGCTTTAAAGCATTTTCTCATTAAAACTTTCTAGGTCCAATGCTGGCATTTGTCGTCTACCCTGAGGCGGTCTCGAATATCACTGGTGGATGGTTGTGGACAATGCTCTTCTTTTTGATGCTTTTCTTGCTCGGCTTCTCGACGATTATTGGTATATTCGTTATTAGATTGTTTAATATCGCTTAAATTTTAGTGGCGACGAAAATTTTGGCTACCGCTTTCACCGATGCTTTTCCGATTCTGGAAAAACGAGCACACTGGGTTGGTGCTTTGTTTTAGAGTATTTTAGAGTTTTGATTATTTAGATCCAACTTGGTGTGGTTATCGCTCTTTACATTATAGGATTGCCTATTATGTCAAAAGTAGGTTCCATATATAAAAGGTTTACATTTTCTAACTTCAAATTTCAGGGTGCTGGCGGATGGGTTGATATTTACGATTTCTCCGTGTCCAGCTTTGTCATCTTCATCATCATTTTCTGCGAGATCATCGTCTGCTTTCATTGCTATGGTAGACTTTTGTTTGACTTAAATATATTTATTTGATGTTTGATACAGGGATTCGCCGTTTCCGTAATGATCTACGCAAAGTTTTTGGCGAGCCGCGTTGGTGGTTGGTTTTTAGAAGAATTTTGCTAGTCGAATTCAATGTTTAGGAGTTGGTTGTGTGGCTTCTCCGGCTACTATTTTCTCTTCAGTTGGCTGATAGTTGTTCCTCTTGTGACTTTGGTTAGTTTATTCATCTACAGCTATCTTATAGATCTTTTTAGGCAATGAGTTGCTTCATGATTTACTCGAAAATAGATGGCCTCATAAAGTGAGTTTTATTCGCTTGACGTTTTGTAAAATATTGAAAAAAATGAAGCTCTAGTATGTATTAAAGTCTTTGTTTCAGGGAAGCCGCCGCTGGAAAACAACCGCCCGCTTATGCTGAAGTGATGCGATGGTTCCTGCTGTGCTTCATCTTGGCGTGCATCCCGTTGATGGCTATTATCCAGACGATCCTACTTCGACGCCAAACGAAATCATGGAAATCTGCGTTCCGTCCACATGCTCTCCATCCAACTTTCGGCACACTGGTTTGTCCCTTGCTTGGTTGAAAGTCGACACCTAAGCGAAACCGAATGATGCTCTGGTGTTAAATTATCTTTTTAGCCATCAACTGCTTCAAACGTTTCACAAGAGAAAACCGATGCCTCGTCAACCAAACAAAAAGACAGCTCTGTGCAACCAGGCGCTTCATCAAGGACTTCGAAAAATCCCCGACCACACGATCAGGTTTGCTTTTATGCCTCATTTTTATTAATGAGCCTCTTAAGGACTCATCACTTGGTCGAACTCCAGCTCGAAGTGCTCACGATCAATCCATCAATGCAACAATCGCCGAAAAAGGAGAGGCTAACACTTCAACCAAGGCTATGACAAGGAAATCGGGAAAAACGGTGCGTTTTGTTGACAATTTTCTTTAAAACGTTATTTTTAGGGATCAGTCAAAGATGATGCTTTCACTCCAACGTCACCCGAGACTCCAAAACTGTCAAAGGAAAACTCATCGAAGGCCGGTGATTGATTTGAGGATTGATTGAGAGTTTAAAATTTTAGAGAACAAAAACGGACGAAAATGGCAGCTCGACCGGAAGGACACCTCGTCGACGCTCGCGCTCCTCGATGGGAAAAGCACAATCGTCGAAAGGATCTGAGGTGGGAAGTTTTTTATTGAAAAGGGTAAAATTATTCGTTAAACTTTTTAAAGTGATGATGCCAGTTAAGCTTTTTAAACGACTTCTTTAGAAAAAGGCACCAGTTGAAAGAGGACTCTTGACCGGCCGCACACCCATTTCATTCTCATTCACGCGCAAATTGTAAATAGAAATTTCTTTTGTAGATTCAATGTTTCTCATTGGGTTGAAACTTTTTGTGCTGGCTTGGGTGTGGAATCGTGTGTTTCCTTTTCGAATTTCCCCGTTTCTCCTTTCCTTTTCTTTTTCGGGTTCCTTTCGGCTTGCCTCTGTGCACTTCGCTTCGCTCTTTTCTTCGTTTTATGGAAATGGAAATAAATTTTTGAAATGACGACTTTTGAAAAATTTATTCTCTGCAACAATCTCCAGAAAAATTACATTGTTTATTCGAAAAAATACTCGTTTTGGCACGAATAAGTGGGGCTTGTGAACGCCGGAGTTTAGGGGGGAATTGGACTTGATTTGGGAAAACCTATCGCAAAAATTTTGACGCTTCAAGAGTACGGTAGTTTTTTTCGCTTTTTAAGAAGAAAACCGATTACAGAATTCTTTCTGTAGTGTGAAATAGGAATTTGATTTTTTATTTCTATTTCTATTCGACACTAGCTCTCCGCGATAAGCTACAATACTTTTCAGATACGGTAACTTGTCCGTTTGTCTTAGAAAACACTACTGATTACAGTATGAATTCTATATGATATTAATATTCAAGTTGATTAGAGTATCTTTTTAAAACTTTTTAAAACTTAAAACTACCGTACTTTAAACGCCAAAATATACAAGTGGATATGACTGGCTAACCGGCTAAGGCACTAGCGCAAGAGAAAACAAAAAAACGGCAAATAGTTATAGAGTGGATAAATAAGTGCAAAAAAAAGATGTATCACAAATGATCACTGGGAAGAAGATTACGGTAAAAATATAGTTACTAAGAAAAAACCCTATAGAATTTTTATCAAAAAAAAAGAGCTCTTTTCTCGAGGAACATTGAGCATAAACGTGAACATAATTTACAAGACACTTTTTTTTTTGAGAAGACTTAGAGATATGTGGAAATAATAGATTATTGAGCACCAGAATTGATTTTTGGCTTTTTGTTTTTTTTAGGGATAAAGATATTCAGCTTAAACGTCGGCCACCTCACCGTCGTCGTTTAAATCGATTTTATCCATGGCTAACGGATTGTCAAATGACATTTCTTCTTTCTTCTTTGAGTTCTAGAATACGGTAATTTGTTTGTCGGATTTTTAATACCAAATCAAACTGGATGCTTTGAGATGCTTTGAGAGCTTTGAGAGCGAAATTGAAAATGATTATGCCAATGTTTTGGAGGAGTTTCTATTTGGCACTTTTGGTTTGGTTTGGCACAACTTTTGGTTAAGCTTAAGCTAAAGTACTTTATCGATACGAGAATTTATGCACTTTTTGAGAGATTTTTGGTGGAAAACACCTTGATTCACCTTTTCTTTCTTTGGCCTTGGCGGGAGTGCGGGTCGACCACCAGACGATGGACCCAATGGACTCAATGAAGTCAATGGACTCTCATTTGGTATCGATATACTCAAATCAGCTTTTGACGCTAAAATTTGAGTTTTAGAGAAAAGAAATTTTGCTTCTTTACCGATCACTTCACTGCCTGGTTTAGGCGTTTCGGAGTTTATGCTGTGCGTGTCGAGATCGTTTCGTTGGAGACTCGGTCGGTGATCGGTTAACCTGAAAGCCAGGTTTATAGGTTAATTGGAATTGAAAGCCAGGTTTATCACAGTATTTGAATGAAAATAGGTTTATCAGATTTATGTTTTAAGCGTTTCTATTCCATTCAGAGAATAAAAACAGAGAAAATCTCGAATTTCTATTCTTGGAGACTTCTTGGAGACTTCTTGGAGACTTCTTAGAGACTCCATTCATGAAGAAATTCGTGCTTTAAATCTTTAGCTTATGCTTTAGACCTTATTTGTCTCGATTTTTGAAATATTTGAGTCAATTTTTTCAACCTCAACGTGGATGAAGTGGATGGACTGTCCTCGTTCTCTTCAGTCATATCATAAACTGGATTCGTGAATGTGGTCGAATCACCGGTGGTGCTCGTCTTATAAGTGTGCATGTCGTACTCAACCGCGTCGGGCTCCTAAAGATTTTTGCGTTCTCGAAAAGTAGATTGTCTTCATTTGATAGTAGTTTGGTTAAAAGTAGAGTATGTACATCTCAAATAAGTAATAAAGTAGGTAATAAAGTAGGTAATCAAGTAGGTAATCAAGTAGGTAATAAAGTAAGTAATAAAGTAAATAATAACTTGAGATAGGTAAGTTTTTCTAAGTATTCTTTTACTGGAGTCAAGTAAAATGTCAAGTAATGCCCATTCTAAAACGCGCTTCTTTAGCGATTTAGTATAAAAAGAGCTAATCGTTTTATTTTATAAACATTTTGCTAACCCTGGAGGTTATTTAGAAAATTACGATAACTTTCTTCTTTCTTCACGCGCTAGAAAACGCTTTATTCGAGATGCACACACTTAAAAATGAATGACTAGTCGATTAACATACAGTACCCGATAATATTATAGAACCTTTATATTAAAAACCAGCAAAAAAACTTTTGAAGCAAAAAGCAAAAGAATTGGCGCTGAGAGGAGTCGAACCTGCGACTCCTCTCTTCTGTTCGTTTGAGAGAAACTCGCGTTAACCGCTCGGCCATTCGATAGCAGTGCGAGCGCGCTTATCTCTAGCTCACACGACCCTGGTTCGACTCTCGCCCGCGTCAGCAGTTTTGTTTTTTTAAAAATTTAAAAACACGGTACACAACTACATGAAATTCTAAGCTAAACTAACTATAAGTTATTTGAAACGATCCACTGGACCGAAAAGGAACCAAATCTACAATCTACAATCTATAAATTTTACAATTTATAAAAACTTCCATATCTCCTTCTTAAACTCAAAATTTCCTATATTTTTCTCAACTTTTATGTCTTTAGGCTTTAATTTTCTTCAAGAAGGAGAAATGCAAAAATTTTCGTAAATTCTAGAAATGTCTCACATTCTTGTCGAGTACTGGATTGCTGAACGAGATGACATTTCCGTGGAAAGCCACCGATCCATCAGCTGCCTCGTTTTTCTTGTGCAACAAGACTCTCTGAATTGATTTTTTTTTTCTAGATTTAACGCTATAATATAATATAATAACAAAATTATAGGAAATGTAACTTCCTATTTAAAGTAACTTCACTCACCTTTCTGTACATTGTGACACCAAAGAAAGCGATGAGACCGATTGCTGCTAAAAGAGCCAACAAAAGAAGGAAAGCGAGCAGGATATTCTCGGATAAACGACCGATAATCTAAAATTTTTGAAATGGTAAATGAAGGATTTGAAGAAATTGAGTAACCTGTTTGCTCACTGATGACGAGCGATCGCAGAGTTGACCCTCGAAATCAGCTGGACACTTGCATTCACCGCTCAATTCACAACTGAAAGCCGGTTTTCAGGTTTTCCGGTTTTTTTACGGATAATAGAGATATCTACAGATCGAATAGTATTTTTAAAAAAAGATATATAGTAATTGATTAATTGTAGAATGGACACAAAGAAGCTGGGCTCTCTTGAGCTTTCAAATGGCGTTAATAGTTGGATTGGCTGCTAACGAGGGAAAGAGATGGCTAAATGACATTTGTCATAGATCATTCGACGCAGAATTACGCGCGGATTCCGAATCTGTTTTCCGTTTCTGATTTGGAGCACTCTGCTAAAAGTTATAAGTGTGCAAAGTTTTGTATGGGATTTATTTTTCACTGCTTTGCAAATTCAAAAAAGCAGAGTTTATAAGCAGATTTCCTAGGGAAGTTCAGAGGCACTGGTGGTTAGAATACAAGACAAACGCCAGGCAAAAGCGGTCTGGTTCGGCTCCGCCATTCAACTTTTTTCCTTTGCTTTTTTTGAATTTGCAAAGCAGTGAAAAATAAATCCCATACAAAACTTTGCACACTTATAACTTTTAGCAGAGTGCTCCAAATCAGAAACGGAAAACAGATTCGGAATCCGCGTGCAATTCTGCGTCGAATGGTCTATGACAAATGTCATTTGATCCCTGTTGGATTGACTGACTGTCTGCTTTAGGAGTACTGCAGTATAATATTATGGATTTATGGCGGCAATATAGTATTCCAGTACTCCTGTACCCAGAACTCAATTTATGTACGAAAAAAGAGACTGAATATTGTAAACTCACATTCCACCATTCTCACATGTGCACTGTTTGGGCATGGTGAGCGGCGAGACGGCGATTGAGCGACAAGAGCCGTCCTAGAAAATCTCCTTTCTTTATGGCTTTTCAAATTTGTCCATTTTTGTTCACAAATTCATTATTTTGAACAAATTTTATTGCATCAATTTGGGTTAGAAAAGGAAAAATGTTTCCCGCCAGCAGGGATCAAACCCGCCGCCCTTGGAGAGGGCGGCTGTCTTTGAACCAATGCTCTAACCGACTGAGCTATCGAGGCACGCTCACTCTCCTCCAAAAAAACAAGTTTTGAGCTCAAAGTTAAAGAAAAAATCTTTGTCGTGAGTAGGGGTCGAACCCGCCGCCCCTGGAGAGGTGGCTGCCTTTGGACCAATGCTCTAACCGACTGAGCTATAGCTGCACGGCCTCCCTCTCTCCAGAAAGGCCCTTTTAACAAGTTTTAAGCTAAAATTCACCCGAAGTAGTCAATTTTTTTCAATTTTGCAATTATTTTCAGCTAAACAAAGAATTGGAGTGCACTAGAAGTGATGTGTTTCTGAGCACAAAGTACACTAACTTCAAGATGTTAGCAGGAATATAATTTTAGCATTAGCATATTATCAAAAATTTCAACTAACCTCTGTTAGAGCTCCATCGGGACACAAACAATTGATAGCCTTGTTCGGCAAGTTCACACAAATATGCGAACATTTCGAGTTCTCACAACCGGATCCGAGTCGTTGAGTGTCTCTGAAAGAAAAAATGCCTAATGAATACCTATTTCTATGGTTAAAACAAAAGCTTAAATATCTTGCTTACTTTGCGTATCGTTGTTGGATTCGAATTGCGTGCGGATCCTGGAGATTCGACGCGAGAACAGAGCGTCGCGCACGACCGAATTTATCCTAAAATTTTGTCTTACAAGAATCTTTTCATATGTCATTATTTATTAAATATTTGAGTGAGTAGTTGGACTCGTTCTTTCATAGGGACTGAGGATATAAAACCGAGATCCGGGATCCGAAATCCGAACCAATGACCTCTCGCTTACTGGACGATGAACACTCTACCTCTACAGCTCTACAACTAGCACCCGAAACGTTTCCCATTGACTCAAGGAATAAGCCTTATGCCCTACTGTGTCTCTCAGAAAGTTTATATCGCAAAAGCTGTAATAGTAGTCCCCCCACCCTCCAATAGTAGGCTTCCCCCGCCCCCTAGAGGGCTAACGAAAAATAATGCCCCCTCCCCGGCACCTAGAGGGCTAAGGAAAAAGAATGCCGCCCCCCCCCCGCCCCTAGAGGGCTAAAGAAAAATAATGCCCCCCGTCCCTAGAGGGCTAACGAAAAAACAATGCCCCTGGGGCCACTATTATAGCATTTACGGTAACATGTAAACGCACCTGTACATAAAGAGTTTTCGTCTCCTTTGAGACCCAGTAAAGATGATTCTCGAAAACATCAATAGCAAATGGAATCGCTTTATCGTCTTTATCGGCTTGGACAACGATTTGTCGATCTGTGCCATCAGGGAGAATTGAGAAAACTCGTCTAGAAATTTTCATAGCTCATTTGTTTACACTATAAACTACAAAAGTTATGACCTAGCACACTAAAAGCGCTTCTAACTTGCTTCATAACTGGTGCATTGATATGATCTATGGCTCAAAAAATAGCCAATCTCAAGAGCTTTCGAATGCACTAAAGTACACTGAAAAATGTGAATTCTAAAGAAAGTTACAGTGGTTCGTAGTTGAAGCTATTATTCTGGCTATAACTTTCTTTAGAATTCATATTTTTCAGTGTACTTTAGTGCATTCGAAAGCTCTTGAGATTGGCTATTTTTTAAGCTATAGATCATGTCAATGTGAAAGATTTAAAGCAAGTTAGAAACGTTTATAGTTTCCGTTTGTAGTTTATAGTGACAATGTCTTATTTTCGTTTAAAAACTCACCTGAATTTCGGATCAGCCCAGAAGATTCGATTATCTTTTCCCTCGTCAACGGCCATCGAAGTTGGCGAGTAAATGATGTCCTAAAAATCGCTCCTTAAATCTGTGTCACTTTATATACGACGGCCGTCTTAGATAAGGCTGCCTTATATACGGTTGCCTTATATATGGTCGCCTTATATACGGTTGCCTTAAAGACGGCCGCCTTATATACGGTACAAAAGTACCTTAACAAGGATTTGTCGATGCATTCCATCCATATCAGCACACTCGATTTTCGCTCTCATTCCACCATCCGCATAGCAGACACGACCCATTTGTGGTAAAACAATAACAGCTGTTGGTAAAGCCAAATGCGAAGAGATCAATTTTCGCATGTATCTAAAGAAAATGATGAAATTTAAAGTCAAAAGATTGTTTGTATTAGTGCTAAAAATCGGCTTTTTTTTTGTCATTTTTCAATAATTTTTTTCTAAACACTGGTTTAAGCTAAAAATAAGTGTTATATCGCAAAAGATCACCAATTTTCTCTACTTTAATTTGATCCCTAAATGAGCAGAAAGAAACGTACTGGTGCTGAGATATGAGCGGTTCTTTGAGTGTAAACTTAGACTACGCGACGCTCCTATAGGGGGTACTTTTATTAGAGCTTTTACGGTAATCTAGGTCCTCTAAAGTTTGGCACTATAATTGTGGATCTGTAGATAAAGCTGTAATTGTAGCGCCCCTATATGAGCGTCGCGTAGTCGAAGTTTACACTCAAACAAACCCTCATATCTCAGCATCAGCACGTTTGTTTCTGCTCATTTAGGTATCAAATTAAAGTAGAGAAAATTGGTGATCTTTTGAGATATAACACTTATTTTTAGCTTAAACCAGTGTTTAGAAAAAAATGATTGAAAAATGATGAAAAATCGGCTTTTTTGTCACTTTTCAATCATTGTTTTCTAAAAATTGGTTAATGCTAGAAATCTGTGTGATATCGCAAAAGATTACCAATTTTCTCTACTTTAATTTGATACCAAAGCGTTTACAAAGAAAAGTACTGGTGCTGAGATATGAGTGGTTCTTTGAGAGTAAACTTAAACGCGACGATACGTTCGAGCATTTCTATTAGAGTATTAGAGGATTTAAAGGGTAAACCTTTTCTTTTTTTTTTGATAAATCTCTTCTATATCTCTCTAAATCTTTTAGCGAATAGAATAATTTGATTTAAAAGATCAAAGATTCAAACACCAACCGTCCATCACTTAATGCAACCCAAATGGCTCCGGTGTGTGATTCGATTGGTTGACTCATACGTTTCGCGCGTTCATGCGTCATCGAGTTGACCGTAGAGATGAAGAGATTTCTAGAAATCGATTATATTAGCAAAAATAGATGCGATATTCGATAAATGAATAGCTTTAATTGAATAGCTTTCTGTCAATAAAACAGATCAAATAATTGATGAAAGTCAGGGTAAAATGATCAAAATGGGAGTGGAACAAATGCGACCTTTTTTTTTGCGCACCCGGACATTTGCGCACCTTTTTCCGCACTTAGCCCATTAGCGCACCTTTTTTCGCGTTTTAAAAAAAGCTCTAAAAGCTAATATTAACCAATTTCTATTCCAAAACTTGTTTTTCTAGGTAATTTTAGGGCGTAAAATCGAAATTTTGGCATATCAGAGCCGGATGCGCAAAAAAAAAAGGTCGCATTTGTCCCACTCCCATCAAAATTGATCAATGATTTGAAAGAAAATTTGTTTCATGTTTGAAATTTGTTTCATTTGAAATTCACTAATTTTTCTATGATTTTAAAGCATAACTTTTGTATAATCTAATCAATTTTCTCGAGTTTTTGCTCTAAAGCCGCTTTTATTGCTATTTATTTTAAAAATCTTTACTAAAGATATTATTTTTAAGCGGAAAAAAAAAAAAAAAAAAGATTTCTATGTTTAGAAAAATTTTCTTTTTTCTTTTTTTCTTTTTTTTTTTTTTCTTTTTTTCTTTTTCTTTTCTTTCTTTCTTTCTTTCTTTCTGAATTTATTTATTATTTTTAGATAGCAAGCGATCTTTGGATACTCCAAGAATATTATTCAAATCAACAAGCGATCAACAAGAAGATCAACAAGAAGATCAAACAAGAGTCGGTGAATTGTTGTTCTCCGTTTCGCGAAACAATCGTTTTTCGACTTTGGAAACGTGCTTTTTGAAGATTTTTGAAGATGATTGGACATAGCTGCATATTTGATAACCGAAATTTGAACCATATATTGATTAAACTAAAGTTTTACCGCTCAACCATCATTGGCTTTTCTCATTTGACTTATAAAAGCTTGTCATTGGCACTAAAAATTGTTTTTCTCAGTTTTTTACGCTTGATTGCAAATATTTAAATCTAATCTCAATAGAATTCAATGTCAGTTATTAAATGTCGGTTATTAAATGTCGATTATCAATTGTCGGTTCTCAAATATCGATCATCAAATATCGATCATCAAATATCGATTATCAATTGTCGGTTATTAAATATCGATTATTAAATATTGATTATCAAATATCGGTTATCAATATCGATTATCAAATATCGATTATCAATTGTCGATTATCAATTGTCGATTTTCAAATGTCCAGTTATCAAATCAATATCAAAAAGCCGAAACGCACTGACATGCGAAAAAGGATCGACCATCAAAAACGACACACGAGAATTTTCCATTAATCAGGAGCTTCGTGAAGGATTTTATGAATCTCAAAACCTTACCCAGTCAAATAATCGACCGCCATTGCAGTGGGTGTAACGCCAAGAGTTTCAAAGTCGATGTCGAGTTGTTGTCCCTCGTGTGATTGATTTCCCGTTGCGATCGCGGATCGGTAAATTGCCTGTGATAATTAGATTAGAAATTGAAATCTTTAAATTCTTCAAGCCTAAGCAGCTTTAAAACTCTTTATCTTTTTATTAGGGTTTTAAAGCAACCTTTTTATCTCCATCAATCCAGAACATGAGCTCTCTTCGAGGGTCGAAATCGACGGAAATGATATCATTGTCATCGACTTCAGCCTAAATGCGAATAATTTTTAGCTTTAGGAAGATTTAGAAAGCTTTAGAAAGATTTAGAAAACTTTAGAAAGCTTTAGGATGCTTTAGAAAGCTTTAGAAAGATTTAGAAAACTTTAGGATGCTTTAGAAACCTTTAGAAAGCACTTTATCTTCTTTACCTCAGCTGCCGCATGTGTATTCACTCCATTTCCATGATGCATTCCGACTTGAACCAGATTATCGTCAGCAGCGATGATGATCTAAAAATATCGAAAGCATTTAGAGTTTCTTTTTTCTCTTAACTAATATATTTTCAATGAAAAGACATAGAAAACATATTAGTGAAGAGTTTCTGGAGTGCAGTTTTCCTTTCATAAACTCTATAAATGATAAAACTCTATAAATCATTGTGCATCATAAATTCCGTTTGAATTCGCAGATGACTAGTGTTTTGAAATCGTCTATGATCTGTCATCGTCTATCTATCAGCTCTAGATTTGCTAAAAGTCTCACCTCAGCTGGGTCGCCTTTAGCTCGACAATCTTTTCCAGTCATCGCTCCAACAACCACATTGTTTTCATAGTCATCTGTGCATCGACAAAGATATGATCCTTTTGTGTTTAAACACATTTGTGTACAAGTGTTATTTCCTTTGCATTCATCGACATCGATACAATCCAACGGATTTTGCGGATCCGGTTGGAAACCATCACGACAATGACAGTAGTAGCTGAAAAAAGGAAAAGCATTTCCCCCCACTTTCTGCTTTCACTCACCCATCACTGACATCTGTGCACAAATGTTTACATCCACCATTGTCTCCATGACTTTCGCAAGTCTTTCCATTGTGCTTATTGCAACCGATCTCATCTGATGCATCGCCACAGTCATCATTTCTAAAAAATAGAAGAGATTACACTGGCTTTAACGGGATAGGATAGACTTTAGCTTGCCTAGGATAGACTTTAGCTTGCCTAGGGTAGACTTTGGCCTGCCTAGGGCAGGCTTTAGCTTGCCTAGGGCAGGCTTTAGCTTTCCTACTCTAACTTTTACTACTCACCGATCACAAGCAAGCGTCTGATTGATGCACTTCCCGTTTGCGCACTTGAACTCATCCCCATTACAATCGCCATATTCGGAAAATGATGTGCACATTGAGAGGTGTTCATCTGATTGATCAAACACTCCGCAATCGTTTAAACCGTTGCACAATTGCAAGATGTTTAGGCAGAGTTTCGAGTGAGCACAACGGAAACGAAGTGGCGGATCACAGCTGGCAGCTCGGCACTCAGCTGACGTCTGAAATCACAGCTAGGTTAAAAAGGGCTAGGTTAAACAGGGCTAGGCTAAGCTAGGCCAGGCTAAGCAAGGCTTGACCAGGCAAGGCTAGGCAAGCTAGACCAGGTTAGGCTAGACCAGGCAAGGCTTGGCTAGGCAGGCTAGACCAGGCTAGACCAGGCTAGGCAGGCCAGGCTAGGCAAAGCTAGGCTAGCCTGGGCAAGCCTAGACCAGGCTATGCTAGACCAGGCTAGTCTGGGCAAGTCTAGGACTGACCCTGTCCTGGCTATAACACTAAATTCTACAATAAACTCTGTTCCCTGACTTCCCAATTCCTCACCTCATCCGAATTATCTCCACAATCATTATCTCCATCGCACATATATTTCCTCGGCACACACACCGAATTCGCGCACTCGAACTCGAATGGAGAGCACTCTCTTCTCGAAACCATTGTGCAATTCGTCTCATCACTAGCTGATAAACAATCTTTCTTTCTGTCGCACCATTTGTGCGCGGGGATGCATGTACCTGAAAATAGAATCTTCAGATTACTCTGGATTTGGTCTTTCTGTAGCAAAATTTAGGTTAAGCCTTAGAAGCTAAAAGTTTATTGGCAATAGCTTTAGATCGATTCAACGATTTAAAACTTTCAAATTAAAAATTTCAAGCCCCTCACCCTCAGCACATTTCCGATGTCCTGGTTGACATTTCCTCGTCTCGCATTGCTCCTCATCGAATCGATCCGAGCACTGCACGGTGCCGTCACATACCTGAATATTTGTATGTAAGCTTGATAGATTTAAGCTTGCTGTGGAGTTACTAGGTTTAAACCACTGCCTCTCAAAAATCAATAATGCCTCTTTAGAGAGCTAGTTGAGGCGATTTTTCAAATTCCTTTTAAATCCAATAACTTTTTAAGCTCACTAACCTTACTGCCTGGGATACATCGTCCATCATTGCATCGGAATTCGCTCTCCGAACACGGTCGACTCGTTCCACCGCACTCGTCAGCCGTCTCATCCGAATTATCCCCGCAATCGTTCTCACTGTCACACATCCATCTGCAAAAGTTTATGTTAGGGTTGTGAAGTAAGATTCGGATAGATCTATGATTGCTAATAGTTAGCTAATAGCCAATGCTGTTAGCCAATGCTAATAGCTAGCTAATAGCCAGTGCTGTTAGCCAATGCTAATAGCTAACTAACAGCCAGCTAATAGCTAGCTAACAGCCAGCCAATAGCCAATGCTGTTAGCCAACCTTAACAACTTTCTCTGTTACCTCTTTGGAATACATTTGCCTGTAGTGGCACATTGGAACTCTCCAACATCATCACACGTTGGACATCTCTCTTTGTGTTCATCCGAATTGTCACGGCAATCATCCTGCCCATTACAGAATGCCCAGTTCGGGATGCAGCGATATGAGCCCGAGCAACGACTCCAACCTGAGATAGATTATTGTAGGTTTATTGCCGTAATTCGATCACTGTAGTCTAACCCCATTTATCGAACCCATCCCATCACTGTAACCCTATCCAGCTACCGTATCTTTCCAAAAACCGAACCCTTTCTGCAATCCTGATTTGCGCATTCGGGTGATTCATCAGATCCATCTCCACAATCGTCATCATTATCGCATTGCCAGGCTTTCGCAATGCATTTGTGATTGTTACAGCGGAACTCTTCGGCTGTACAGTTGTGAGCGGGGTTTCCTAAGAATTAGATAATGAATTAGATAATCTAAAGAACTCTTCCTATAGCACTCTTCCTATAGCCCTCTTCCTCTAGAACCCTCTCCATTCCACTCACTGCAAATCTCTTCAGCCTCATCCGATCGATCTCCACAATCATCATCGCCATCGCATGTAAAACGCTTTGGCACGCATTTCCCAGTGGCTTTACATTTAAACATCCACGGATCACACGGTTTATCGCAGTCTACCTCATCCGACCCATCACCACAATCATCATAGCCGTCACAGAGCTGAGAAAAGGATTCTATTGGATCAAACATCAAACATTGGATTAAACAATGCCCAGTTTATCGTCTACTATTTGTTCTAGGCTTTTAAAACAATGCCCAGTTATCATGAGTAGAATTTCCCCAACCTGGAATGGCCTTGTGCAATTGTGATTCTTGCATTGGAATTCACCAACAGGACAAATTCTTGGTCCACATATTTCTTCGCTTGGCTCATCAGATTTATCTCGACAATCAGCCTCTCCATCGCAATACCTAAAGTAAGAAAATCGTATTTGTAGAGATTGTAGAGATTATAGAGATTATAGAGTGTATTACTGATTTATGATAGTTTTATCTTATAAAGAATCGTTTTTCTCGTGTAAAAATTGAACTGAAAAGCTTTAAGGTCGAAGTCTTAGTGATTATCCGAAAGTCTGTGTGAAAGATTCAGCTAATTCAATAGATTCAGCTAATTCAAATGAAAGCCTTTTAATGATAAAGCTATTCAGTTTCGTTAACTGAATACTTTCTAGGTAAAGCTATTCAGCTAATCAATTTATGATAAAGCTAATCGATAAAGTTAATCGATCGATTTTTTTCCAATTTCAACATTAAGAAAATAAGATCTTTTAACTGACCATAGCTTTGGAATACATTTTGCATCATCGCCTCCACAAGCGAATTGTCGCTCCGTACAGTTGGCTTTGCATGTCTTATTGTCGGAAAGAAGAATGAACTGATCTGGACAAGCACATGTGTAACCTTTTCCTCCTCCCTGAAAGGATTTCAATTGAAAAAAAATGATGTGTAAACTTGTAAGCATTCCTTAAAAAGCTTTCCTCTCAAAGCTTTAAACGATACTCTAGCTTGTTAACCTATAAACTTTAAACGGTAAGCTTTAAGGATCCTTTTAACCTAACACTCACCGTTTCTTTCACGGGTAACTTTAAAATCGTTTTTCTAAAAATCTAATCAATTCCAATTTTTACATGCTATCCAACTAAGAAAAAGTCAAAGTTTGATAAAAATCTGTCTACAGAAAAAAAAGTTAATAAGGTGAACACGTTTCCAAGCTATTTTTTCCATTTTTAAGTGGACAGATTTTTATAAAACTTTTTTCTTTTTCTTAGTTGGATAGCATGTAAAAATTGGAATTGTTCAGTTTCTGATATTTTTTGGTTTTTGAAAAAAAATGGTTTGAAACTTGTTCACCGTATTAACTTTTTTTTCATTAAACAGATTTTCATCAAACTTTGCTTTTTCTCTTAGTTGGATAGCATATTCCAAATATCAATTAACATAAGATTACCCGAATCAAGCACAAATGCGAGCATCCACCATTGTCATCTCCACACGGATTCGCCCAATCAGGTTGTCGCAACGGATGAACAACACGTAAATCATTTGGTAATTGTATTGTGTGAACGAGCGTTGTCTCATTTGTACCATGCCATTTATTCGATGAAAGTACCTGTAAATGAGAAATCTTGATTTTGAATCAAATAGGAGCTAAATAGGAACCAAATAGGAACTACAAAGAACTAAATAGGAATCAAATAGGAACTACAAAGAATCAAATAGGAACTACAAAGAACTAAATTCGAACCAAATAGGAACCAAATAGGAACTACAAAGAACTAAATAGGAATCAAATAGGAGCCAAATTGAAACCAAATAGGACCTAGAAAGAACTAAATAGGAACTAAATAGGAACCAAATAGGAACTACAAAGAACTAAATAGGAATCAAATAGGAGCCAAATTGGAACCAAATAGGACCTAGAAAGAACTAAATAGGAATCAAAAAGGAACCAAATAGGAACCCAATATAAACTACAAAGAACCAAATAGGAACCAAATAGGACCTAGAAAGAACTAAATAGGAATCAAAAAGGAACCAAATAGGAACCCAATATAAACTACAAAGAACCAAATAGGAACCAAATAGGACCTAGAAAGAACTACCGTAAATACGGTAATAGTACCCCACCCCCATAATGACGGTGCGGAGTATTGCGTAGTCTAGCTTTGGACGCTTTTTTTTCTCGACACTGGTTTATGCTACAATGCTCGCTTAGGTATCAAAAAATAGCTGAAATTCAGGGCTATTTTTTGATACCAAAAACGTATTTTTTTTGGAAGTACGGGTACTTTGAAAAAAGGTGCGGAGCGTTGCGTAGTCTAGCTTTGAACGAGTTTTTCTCGACACTGATTTATGCTACAATACTCGCTTAGGTATCAACAAATAGCTGAAATTCAGGGCTATTTTTTGATACCAAAGACGTATTTTTTGAAAGTACGGGTACTTTGAAAAGCAATGAAATACTAAAAAACTTTTGCGACTACGCGACTGTACGAGGGGAGGTGGGGTACTATTACAGTATTTACGGTAAATAGGAACCAAATAGGAATCAAATAGGAACTACGAAGAACTAAATCTTGATCTAATCTGATAAATCTCGAAATTTGTTAACCTCTTTTAGATTCCAATCACTCCAGAAAAGTGTATCATCAAAAACAGTCATACTGGAGACATGCGAAGTGCGTTTTGCTGGGATGTGTCGACGACCATTTCCATTTAAATCCATAAATCTAAAAAAAGATTCAACCTTTCCACTTCAAAATCTTCAACTCACCCAATTTCATTTAAATGTGCATCACCCCAAAACAATCGATTCGATTGATAGTCAATTGTGAGCGCATTCGGCCATCCAAGATCGTTTTCAGCTAACTAAAAAAGCATAAGCATTAAAATCGCAATTAATGAATGGAAGCTTTGATCTTCTTATCTTCTTTTCTTTATAGGATTAACTTTATAGAACCTTTTCAATCGGATCAGCTTTATCTGGCTTACTAGGATCAGCTCTATCTGGCTTACCTTTTCAATAGGATCAGCTTTATCTGGTGATCCATCAAGCGCCATTCGACCAATGTACGGTTGAAGGCTCCATTCGGTGAAGTAAAGATAGCCCTGGAAAGAGTTTTTCTTGTAAGAGAGATGAAAGAATTGATTTCAATCACCGGAAAGAATGAATTTCAATTCTATCCGAATGCTAATTAAGATGCCAAATGCTAATTAAGAAAATATCGAATAACTTTTCACCTCTTGTGGATGAACGACAATTGCTTTCGGTTGTTGGATTCTGTCACGGATAAGCGTCTTGCAGAGTCGACCATCGAGTTCACAAACGCGAATCGCTCGCTCTTGTCGATTCAGCAAATAAATCTTTCTGCCGACCCAATCAATTGCAAATCCTGAATTAGTTCAATTAAATTAGATTCTCCATTTCGATTCACCTTCAGTTCCAAAAATATTGTGCCTAAGGACGGGTGTGTATTTCGTGATCGGTGTGTCAGCCATTTCATCGATATCCACACTGTAGAGACGGAGTCGACCAATGTCGCAAACGTAGAGCTAAACGAGAATTGTATGAATTGAAAAATCACTCAGATCTACGACAAAGCAGGGTACAAGATAGGAGATTGTTAAATGTAAACTCTCAAAAGAGCTTCTGAGCTTCTGAACTATGCCCTCTATTGGGATCGAACACTGGCACGCTTTCCGATAGAGCCTTCCCCCTTTCCAGTCGAAAGCTCTAGCACTGAGCTATGAGCGAACGGGAAAGCCTTTCCTCCAAGAGTCTCTCTCTGATTTCCCCCTTACAGTTATTCGGGAACTATTGTACAATGGCACAAGTGAGCCGGACAATAGCCATTATCCCAGTACAATAGCCATTAACCCTGCATCTGCCCACTAGCCTATTCCACCAGCCTGGTAAAATTCCAGTACAGTAATCGATATCAGATACAATAGTAATACTTAAATTAATTAGCTATTAATTAGCCTAGCGATAAGTGTTTCAGTAACTCATCAAGTCAACCCGCCATCCAGCTCAATCAGCTAGCTGGTATTACTTCTGACAGTTTACTTTGCACCACTTTCATCGTTTACCTTATTTTCCTTGATATCCACATCCATACTGACAACATTCTCAAAGCCTTGAGCTGCCATTTCGTACAAATTCCCGTCAACGGAGATCTTCCGAACGTAGTGCTTGTTGGCGAGTAGAAGGTATGGTTGGGGTTCCTAAAAAGCTCCTATATAGTGCAGCCGTATATAAGACAGCCGTATATAAGGCGGTACTCAAAATATTGAAATATCCACAACTACACCCACCGGATCAACTCGTTTACACGTTTTATCATCTCTTGCCAGTGCATATCCATCCACACATCCACACTTAAATGTGCCGACTTTGTCCTCGCAAGTTTGGGAACAATTTGAGACACCCTCTGAAAAGGATTTCGTTATGAAAGTGAGCGGTACCCAATTTTGAATATTTTAGCCTACTGTGGCTGATTTTCTTGAAGCTAATGATGATATTCTATCGTTTCTCCTTTCCCTTATCTTTTCCTACAATAACTGAATATTCTAGAGGCTAAAGATATTCAATTGTTTGGGTAAATCCTTTAGCCTACTGTGGATTATAGAACTTTTTAAAAACCAACCAAAGCATTCATTCACATTGTGACAACTTTTCTTGTCGACTGGATCGAGCGCGAAACCATCATGACACTCGCATTTGTATAGAATCGGTAAATCAACGCAAATCTTAAGAGTTAGAGATTATTGTAGGCTTAGTGACTATTATTTAAAGAGACTACTGTAGTTTAGATGACTAACTGACTAACTGACTAACTGACTAACCTGTTCACAAATTGGATGTTGTGCTTTTGCGCACTCATCGATGAAACACTTCTCACTCTCGTCGGTTCGATCCGAGCAATCGTAGTTTCGGTCACAAACCTGAAATTTGTTTACATTACCATTATATTAAAGTATATTCGGTTTCGTTTTTTAATATTGCAATTGCTTGCAAAAAATTGCTTCTCTTCTAACCTTTTGCTCATCAATGCACTCTCCATTTACACATTGGAATTGTCCTTTCAAACACATCGATCCCGATTCTCCGACTTCCTAAAAGTTTATCCATTCATAGCTGAATTTCTTTTTTTTCGTATCATCTATAAAGAAAAAGAAATCCCAATGTAAAAGAGTGTGAAATGTTCTTTGTGCGGCCTCGTAATCGCTCGCTTTCTAGCACAACGTCTCGATAGATAGGGGTTAAAAAGGGGTGGAAATAAAATAGAATCACTCGCTTCTTAAAATTCAACTTTTTTTTTGCTTATTTCTTTACGATTTGTGTTCTTAATGATTAATGTTCTTATTTTAGATGCTGGGAAGGAAACAGTTGAACACGCGAACGAAGGAGAGAATCGCCGATTGTTCAATGGAACCGTATCCGAGCCATATTGGAACCGTATCTGAACCATATGGAACCAATCTCGGATCGGATTGGATCTAATTCAATATTCGAACGATTAAACTCAACCAAGAGACCATCAAACGATTGTTTGGCGTATCGAAATGGACGGTGAATAGGATTTGCAAACGATATTTTCAAACTGGCAATGCTAGGTGATAGATAGGTTTTCTCGATAGATAGGTGTTCCCAATAGATAGGTGATCCCGAAATGGACGGTGAATAGGATTTGCATATTTTTAAACTGACAACGATAGGTGATAGATAGGTGTTCTCAATATATAGATGTCCCCGATAGATAGGTGTTCCGGATAGATAGGTGTTCCGGATAGATAGGTGTTCCGGATAGATAGATGTCCCCGATAGATAGGTGTTCCGGATAGATAGGTGTTCCGGATAGATAGGTGTTCCGGATAGATAGGTGTTCCGGATAGATAGGATCAATTCTTGGCTTAAATTTAACTGTATTTTGCTAGAAATTCTACACACTCTTGAGATCAATTTCTTTTCTTTCCCTCTTTTCTTTTCCCCACAAAATCCTGAACCTTTTGATGTTCGGCGCATCGCTTCTCATCGGATCCATCTCCACAATCATCGTTTCCGTCACAACGCCACGAGTTCGGGATACACTTGTGATTCTCGCACTGCCAGAACTCGGGTTGACACGAGGAATATGCTGTAAAGGTTTTTTTGAGGGTTTTTTGTTTTTCTTGTCCAATTCTTGACTTGAGTTCAATTCTATTTCAACTAAAACAATCTATTTCAACAACTTCAACAACTTGTCTACAACTTTTGAATTCTTCAAGCATTTTGATAGTACTCTTCATTATGAATACTATAAATCTGAATCTAAGGCCATCTAAGGCCATCTAAGGTCATCTAAGGCCATCTAAGGTCATCTAAGGTCATCTAAGGCCATCTAAGGTCATCTAAGGCCATCTAAGGTCATCTAATCTAATCTAAATCCAATCAAGTCTTACTAATCTCATTAAGCAACAAAATCTGAAACACTGAAGTAATTCAAACTAACTGCAGTTCTGATGTTCATCCGATCCATCAAGACAATCATTGTCTCCATCACATTCCCACGAGGCATGGATACAGTGCTGATTCTGGCATCGGAATTCCCCTTTATTGCACTCCTAAATGAATTTGATCTTTGAGTAAAAGGGTTATAGAGAAGTAACTAAATTAAAGGTGTTTTTTTGAGAGAGAGCACAAAGTACTCACCCGTTTCTCCGTTTTGCATAACTCGGTACTCTCATCCTCTCCCCCAGCACAAGTCACATCACCATCGCAAAGCCACGCCTTTGGAATGCATTCGTATTTCGGTTGAGCCAAACGCGCATTCGAAGCACAATGGAATTCTTCATCGCTGCAGGTGCGATTGCCTAGAAATTTTAGGCTCTAGGGATGGCTAAAGGAGAGTAACAAAGACAAAGCTTCAGTGCTCTAGGTATGTTTACGAATAACCAAAACAAAGCTTCAGTTCACCAACCGCATTGATGTCTCGCGTGTTCATCCGATCCATCCCCACAATCGTCTTCTCCATCGCAAATAAATGCTCGAGAGATGCATTTCCCGCTGTCACATTGGAACAAATACTCTCCCACGCAGATTCGTTTACCCTCAGATGTCGCTAAATTTTCGTGAATCAGTGATCAAGCTGGCAGCTCAATTAGACAGCTGGCAGCTCAATTAGACAGCTAGCAGCTCAGTTAGACAGCGTTGAGAACTCACTGCAATTTGTGTGTGCCTCATCCCATTGATCCTCTCCACAATCACTGTCTCCATCGCATTGCCAATTCTCCGGAATGCAACGACCACTCGGGCAACGCGCGCTGGAATAATGATTATATTTTTCAGCACCAAAACACATTTTAATCGTTTTCTCTGCATGTCACTCACTAATGCTGTGGACATTTGTTATTCATACACCACAATTTGCTCTCATCGGCTTTATCTCCACAATCATCGTAGCCATCGCAGAGGTCGGCTGGCTGAAAAAAGGGAATTTCAAAAAAATTCAATAGAAATTCGATCACTTGAATGCAAATATTCGTATTTGGGCATTTTATCCGAACACCGCGACAATCGATCGGAAGACCGGGACACGTTTCCGCTGATTCGTCGGAGACTTTCCCATCGTGGCAATCCTTTTGCCCATCGCAGACCTGAAAAACTGACTTTTAATGCATAAAATGCTATGCCAATGTTTTTGATAAAAAATTTTGATCTTTGATCGTGAGCTTGAGAATTATTGCAAAAAATTAGCGCGTAAAAGTCACGAGCACCGCCTTATATACGACCGCCATAAACAGCTGCCTTATATACGATCTCCATAAACGGCTGCCTTATATACGACCTCCATAAACGGCTGCTTTATATACGATCTCCATAAACGGCTGCCTTATATACGACCTCCATAAACGGCTGCTTTATATACGACCGCCATAAACAGCTGCCTTATATACGACCTCCATAAACGGCTGCCTTATATACGCGCCTTAACGGCTGTCTTATATACGACTCCTTTTAAAGATATTCAGCCGTTTTAACTGCTTTGGTGCAAAATTCCCTTCAAATGTAAAGATATTTAATTACTCGACGTGTAAATGGTTTTTTTGGATTGTGAGAAATATGAGAAATTTGACGACACGGTTTCGAACGTTTTCTATTCGCTGTTTTAATTATATTCCCTCTAGGATCATCGTAAATGTGTTAAACATTTTCGCGTGATTACCGGTTTTGAACGTTTTATATTCGCTGCTTTAATTATATTCTCTCTAGTGCTCTTTTAGTATCGTATTATGGCGGCCGTATATAAGGCAGCTTACCCAATTATTAAAAACCGTGTTCCCCATTTGGATACAAATTTCAAATCGAAATTTGGACTCATGAATTGATTTTATGGTCACTGTTCGGCCAAACTGTTCGAACAAAGTAGACAGATTTTTTTGAATCGGTACTCGATGGGAGACTTTGGAGACTTCCTAATCTCATAAAAGATTAGGAAACGTTTAAAACAAAACCATAATCTAATAAAAAGAAAGCTTGTAATAAATCTGACCTTTGTTTGATTGATGCAAAGCCCATTCGAGCATGCGAATTGTCCTGTGCCACAGGTGACGGCGGCTGGGGAACAGTCGAGTTCATCAGATGCATCACCGCAATCATCAATGTTATTACACCTAAAAGAAATCGATTAAAGAGATGAAAGTTGTTTGAATTCGTCTCGGTAACAACAAATCTATATATATAAAAGAGCTGTCTGTCTGTCTGTCTGTCCGTCTAGCTGCTTTCAAACCTCAAAGTTCCATCAATACAGCGCCGATTCGTGCAAAGATAATAGTCAATTGGACAGGATCGTGTATCTGAATGTGATTAATGAAATCTATCACTTGAAAGTTTAGCTATAACTACGGTAAACTCACTGCAATATCTCGGATCCTCATCGGATCCATCCGAGCAATCGGGCACTCCATTGCAAGTAGCGCCTAGTGATACACAAGCTCCATTCGCGCATTGATAATTGTATGGAGGAAGGCACTCCTTTCGAGGGTTCTAAAATAATAGAAATACAAATCAAGTACTATAAATAGCATCTTTTTACACTTTTTACAGCCTTTCAAAAGAATAACAAAGAAAAAAGGGCTTGTTCAACTTTTCCGAGTCCTTCCTAGAACTGGTGGAGCCAAATGCTATACAACCTATACGATTCAACGCAGAATTTAATGATGATTCCGAATATATATCCCGTTTTTGCTAATTGATAATCTGTCAGGAGTTATAAGCGTCTAAGGTGGATCAAATGCGTTTAAAATCAGACCAAATGTGGTCTTAGCAGTTCCATTTGGGTCTTAGCGGCCTCCTTGCGGACCCTCAGTGCAGCTGTGGCCGAGTGGTACAGCGCTCGTTTCTAGAGCGAGACCTCGCAAGTTCAATCCCACTTCCCATAAGTTCGATCCCAAATTGGCATCGAACCTGTAAGGTCTCGCTCTGGAAGCCAGCGATCCACCACTTGGCCACAGCTGTCATGAATCTAGCTCGCAAGGAGACAGCTAAAACCCAAATAGGACCGCTAAGACCACATTTGGTCTGATCCACTTTAGACGCTTATAACTCCTGACAGATTGTCATTCAGGAAAAACGGGTTATATATTCGGAATCAACATTAAATTCTGCGTCGAATGGTATAGGTTGTATAGCATTTGGCTCAGCCATTTCTTGTCAATAAAATGAATAACGTCAATCGATTTCCCGACCCCCGAAAAGGTTCGAAAGTCTTCTTGGGTCGAGTTTATCCGCCCCTTTTCAACTGCAGTCGTGGCCTAGTGGATAACATGATGGGCTACAGAACTGGTCGGATTTTTTCCTGGTGGGTTCGGATCCCCACTTGTCAAATGTTTTTATTTTTTGTTTTTTACAATAATATCACAAATTCTTACAAAATTCCTTGTTTTTCACACAAAATAGACTGTATTTTTGTAGTTTTGCTAAGGCCTTTTTCTTTTTTTGCTTTTTATGCTTCTTTTCTGCCTCCTACCACCAAAATAGCAGTTATACTGGAAGAAAAACTGGAATACGATTTAACTCAAGAATTTTTGTCTCTCGATTTCTCTTGATTGATAAGTCCAATAAATCTCTTTTTAGTCTCATTTGAAAGCTTGAAATCTCCTCTTTAAAACTAGATCAAAGTAAATAACTAAATCTTGATATAAAAAGCCAACAACTCACATCACTTCTCAGTACACACTGCGTGGCATAGTCTTTTCCCGGCTCTTGCACCAATTCATAAGTGTCATTGCAAGAGCATTGCACTCGAGAAGCCACACTGCCCACCTGGAAATTGGAAAATTTATAAAGAAGCTCTATCTAAAGCTCTATCTAAGCTCTACCTAAGCTCTATCTAAAGCTTGTATGCGACAATGCGATTAGAAAAAAAGCTCACCTGATCAGCCACTACACTGCACAATTGATCACAACCACCGTTGTTCGTCTTGCAAAGTTGTGCTGTCTAAAAAATGGATGAATACATGCTATACCACCCAAATTCTCCCACCTGTGCATTGCAGATTTGATCCCTTGTTTTAACATCATCTTCCGAAGCAAACACTTGCAGAGTTCCAGGGATTCGACGATCCGGCACGACTATCTAAATTTACACAATTTACTAAACTTACACAATTTACACAACCTACACAATTTACGCAACCTACACAACCTACACAACCTACACAATTTACACAACCTACACAATTTACGCAACCTACACAACCTACACAACCTACACAATTTACACAACCTACACAATTTACGCAACTTGCACAACCTACACAATTTACGCAACCTACACAACCTACACAACTTACACAACCTACACAATTTACACAACCTACACAATTTACGCAACTTACACAACCTACACAATTTACGCAACCTACACAACCTACACAACTTACACAACCTACACAACCTACACAATTTACACAACCTACACAATTTACGCAACTTACACAACCTACACAATTTACGCAACCTACACAACTTACACAATCTACACAACTTACACAACCTACACAATTTACGCAACTTACACAATTTAAACTTACATCAATCTCTTCAATCTATATCTAAATTCAAAAAATTTACCTCTACATCACCGCCTGAGTCCTTGTTAAGCCGGAAAATGGTGTTGCTGAGTGGATCGGACACGTACAACCAACGATCCCAAATGTCTAACGATTTTGCTCGATACCCGGTGGCAATCACCTAAAATTAGATATTAAAGAAAACAATTGAAAGCACTTTAGAAAACAAGTAAAATGTCCAAACGAAAGCCTACGAAAGCTTACAAAAGCCTACGAAAGCTTAAGAAAGCCTAGGAAAGCCTACGAAAGCGTACGAAAGCTTACGAAATCTTAAGAAAGCCTACGAAAGCCTAGGAAAGCCTACGAAAGCCTAAAAGCCAAACGAAAGCCTACTTTATATCTAAAGCCTACGAAAGCGTACGAAAGCTTACGAAAGCCTACGAAAGCTTAAGAAAGCCTACGAAAGCCTACGAAAGCCTACGAAAGCCTACGAAAGCGTACGAAAGCTTACGAAAGCTTACGAAAGCCTACGAAAGCTTAAGAAAGCCTAAAAGCCAAACGAAAGCCTACTTTATATCTAAAGCAAATCTAAACAAAAAGACAAAAAGACAAAAAGTTTTGCTTAATTAACAATAAAGCAATTGAAACCTTTCGATTGCTTCCATCGTAATCGCAGCTCTCAATCGTCAAACGATTCACATCAGCCCAATAAAGCTTTTGATTTCTAAATCAATCAATCAATTTCATTAAAAAAAAATCTAGAAATGAAAAGAGTTTAAAAAAGAAAGAATAAAGAGTGTCTTTTTAAGGTAAAAGAATAAATCTTTTACCTAAAATCAACAGCCAATGCAGCTGGCAATCCGACTCCATCAGCCACAATAACCTCTCGATTCCCACCCGCTAGATTCGAGCGCTCGATTCGGGGCTGATACGGTCCTAGAATTACATCTAATATCTACTAATTTAAAGAAATTCTTCATTTCTTTCAAACCTCCAGTGATTTTATATCCATTATCAGACCAGAAAAGTAAACCAGCGCATGGATCCAATGCGATCGCATATGTCCAATCGCCATTCGCTGAAAAAGCATAGCTATATCAAAAATGATTGAGATTTTAAAAGTTCTCTAAATTATGTCTCAGCTACCGTAATCCTGAATCGATCTTTCTTTCTTTCTTTCTAAGGATTGGAGTAAAAGAAGGGAATGATTGTGTCTGTTATGATTGTCTAGGAAAGGGAATGATTGATATTGAATGATCCAAAGTCGGATTGATGTTTTAGCCTTAAACCAATCGTATTTCTAGTTTAAAATGGTATTTGTGTTGGTGATATTTGGGGTATTTGTCTATTTTTCAAAAAATACTACAAGTTTATCAGTGCCGGGAGTCGAACCCATCAGAAAGCACGGTCTCGGTTTTGCAATCCAGCACACTATCCCCTAGGCCATTGCTGCTGTGTCTGCGTCCGCATGTGACCCGCTGACCCACTATTCTTGGCTAACGGCTATTTTCCAGCCATAAGCTGGTTAAGGGTTTTGTTTCCTAGCCGATCCAGTTGTCATGGCCAAGTGGTTAGGAGTCTTGCCCGCTAGTCGGCAGGTCACGGAGGCCACTGGGTTCGATATTATTTGTCTTTTTTAAAAAAGACAAAAAGTTTGTCAGTGGCGGGAGTCGAACCCACCGGGGTAAGAGGGGCCTCAGTTTTGCAGTCCAGCCCACTATCCCCTAGGACACCGCTGCTCTTTGGTCCCCTCGTGTGGCGGGCTCTTATTGACTAGGGGGCGATTTTTTTCGAAACTTTCAGCCCTAACCTAGTTAAGGGTCTTGTTCCCCAGCCGGCCATCCAACGGCCATGGCCGAGTGGTTAGGTGTCTTGTCTCTTAGTCGGGAGGTAGCGGGTTCGATCCCCGCGGCAGGAAAATTTGGCTTTTTTCCAGTTTTTTCTTAGACATTCGGGTACTTTGGTGTCCTGGGGGATACTGTAGTGCTATGAATTTAAATCTACAATATCGAAATGATTCTAAACTTTCCCCAAAGTCTTACCAATTGTCGCCAAATGCTCTCCCTGTGTATCAACGGTGTAAATCTTTCCGAGACGACCGGTCGTGAAATAGAGCTAAAAGTTGTTAAAATGAAATCTAGATTTAGATTTAGATTAAATATATCAAATATTTAGATTAAATATTATCTACTTTTCCCGTCAACCAGTCGAATTTCATGTCAGAAATGTGGCGGATCGTTTGCGCGGCTTTTTGCTTTGTGGCGCCGAAGATGAGGCGAGGACTCTGGAAAGGGATTCATACAAATAGCTAAATAGCTAAATAGCTGAATAGCTGAATAGCTAAATAGCTAAACAGCTAAACAGCTAAACAGCTAAATATCTTCTATATCAAACGCACATCAGCATTATTGATGGAGAACCAAGAGATGTTCACACCGGCCGGGCTCTCGGTCACATAGTAGACACGTCTGGAAAAGTAATCAGCTTTATCCTAGCTAGAATCAATAAAATGACTAGCACCAATCGATTCGTTGACCCTGAAAACCCCCAGGTACAAATTCATAGCAGAATATCTTCTTTTTGAAGTTCTTTGTTTCGGCTACAAAATCCCTATGTAAATGCAATGTAAATGCCGAGATGTTCTTTGTGCGGCAGCGTAATCACTCGCTTACTGGCATACCGCCTCTTTCTTCTTCGACGATTAATCTTCGTCATTCATGGTTCGTCAAAATCAAAAAGTTGGCGAAGGGAGGAATCGAACCCGAGCCAGAAATCGATCATCAGTTTTGTAGTCAAGCATCTTATCCACTCGGCCACCAGCTCATCTTGACGCGCCCCGAGAAATGGCTTTTAACCGAGCATCCAAGTTTTCGACAGCATAAAAGCCTTTAACATCTCGGTTAAAAGGCTTTTCTCGCGGGCATTCAAGGTGACCTGGTGGCCTAGTGGATAAGGTGCTTGGATACAAAGCGAGCGACGCGTGTCTTGCTCGGGTTCGAATCCTCGCTCGATAATTTTTGCTTTATTTTTGATTTTAACGAAGCTAATACGAATGTATTTTGTTTCTTTTCGTTTCTTTTCATTTCTTCTTTCATTTCCTTTCATTTCCACTCATTCCCATTCATTTCCTTGGCAAAAAATGAAGAAAATTAATCAAGAAATCGGAAATGAATTTAGAATTGTTTCTTTGTTGTTTTGAGAAGAGTTTTTTGCTAAAAAAATGCCTTTTTTGCCAAAAAATGCTTTTTTGTTCTTTTTGCTACAAATTCTGGATCTAATTAGAGAAATTTTCAAGAAAAATTACCTTAAATTCACATCTACATCAAACAATTGTAAATTGTCAATTGCTGGAAGGGCTTCTTTCATCGGGCGTGGTGATTTCACATCGGGTTCTAAGAGAAAAAGAGATTGGGAGGATTGAGAAGATTGAGAAGATTGAGAAGATTGAGAAAGAAGATCAGAAGATTCAGAAGATTCAGAAGATCAAAAGATTCAGAAGATTAGAAGATTCAGAAGATCAGAAGATTAGAAGATCAGAAGATTGAGAAGATCAGAAGATCAGAAGATTCAGAAGATTAAGAAGATTAGAAGATCAGAAGATCAGAAGATTAAGAAGATTAGAAGATCAGAAGATTCAGAAGATTAAGAAGATTAGAAGATCAGAAGATCAGAAGATTAAGAAGATTAGAAGATCAGAAGATTAAGAAGATTCAGAAGATTGAGAAGATCAGAAGATCAGAAGATTAGAAGATCAGAAGATCAGAAGATTCAGAAGATTAAGAAGATTAGAAGATCAGAAGATCAGAAGATTAGAAGATCAGAAGATTAAGAAGATCAGAAGATCAGAAGATCAGAAGATTCAGAAGATTCAGAAGATTCAGAAGATTAGAAGATCAGAAGATTCAGAAGATTAGAAGATTAGAAGATCAGAAGATCAGAAAATCGATTTTTAGAAAAGCTTTTAGTTTAGAAAATTGTTTTTAAGTGATTTTTACTTACCAATATTCGCGTCAACGATTCGATCTCCGTCAGCGAACATTAAATAAGTGTCCGGTTCTAGAAAAGCTATTGTTTTATTGTTTTTGTTTTTGTTTTATTCTTATTGTTTTATTGTTATTCTTTTATTGTTATTGTTTAGGTTAAAAGAATTCCAACAAGAGATTCTCATGGTTTAGAATGGTTATTATTATTTTTCTTAGGAAAAGCAATGATTTTTCTCTAATATACCTTCACAAATGCGTCCCTTGAGTACCCCACGAGCACAAGCGCAAATTGGGGTTTGTGTGCCGGGCGTCGCGAAACAAAGTTGTGCACATGGGGCTTTTCTGAATAGAGAATAGAGGTTTCTTTTTTTTTCCAGAACATTTCTTTACCGCAAATTATCTGTGATTTGACAGGGTGAGCTCGATTTTGGTTGATTGTCCTCGGCGAACACAATCACATCACCCACATCTTTTATATTTGCTGTCAGTGTTGATGGAGTCAAAATATACGAAGTCGTGTTCGGTTTACTGATTTTTGAGAATTCGGATAGCTCGAATTGCTTTTTTGAAATACCTTGTTGCTTTAAAGACTTTCTCTAAACGATTGTCCGTCCAGTACATTTGATCTTTGAACAGAGCGATGCCTGCTGCTGAGGCGATGTCTCCACGAACCTGGAAAAGTGGAAATGGACTTCAAGATTATCTTTAACTTTAATTTAATTGTTTGTAACTGTTTTGGAACTGTTTTGGAACTGTTTTGGAACTGTTTTGGAACTCTTTGGAACTCTTTGGAACTCTTTGCAACTGTTTTCAACTGTTTAAAACTGTTTACAACTGTTTACAACTGTTTACAACTGTTTACAACTGTTTACAACTGTTTACAACTGTTTACAACTGTTTACAACTGTTTACAACTGTTTACAACTGTTTACAACTGTTTACAACTGTTTTCCAAAAAAAATTATTCTAACCGGATTCGAACCCGTGACCTGCTCGCTGCTCGCTTTACAGTCCACCACTCTACCAATTGAGCTATGGCTGCTCGTGTCGAGGGTCTTTTTTAGCTGTTTTCTAAGCTGCTTTGAGTTAATCAAAGCTACCCAAACAAAATTGACTCTTGTCAAAAGTTAAGCTTATTTTCTCACCGCGGTCACGATCATCTATAGCTCAGTCGGTAGAGCGGGGGGCTGTAAAGCGAGCGGGCCCCTAGGTCACTGGTTCGAATCCGGTTGGCTCAAATTTTTCCGGAAAACATTTGAAAACGACTCTTGTCAAAAGATAACCTTATTTTCTACCCCCCGGCGACGATCACCCATAGCTCAGTTGGTAGAGCGGGGGGCTGTAAAGCGAGCGGCTGCCTTAGGTCACTGGTTCGAGGCCGGGTGGGGTGATTTTTTGCAATTAAATTCAAAAATTGGTTAAAATGTAATAATGAAGATTACGGTAGGTTTTAAAAGTTGACACATTTCAAAGCATTGTTTAATGAGATTCAAAAAGACAGACCAATTCAGGTTTCCCTCCACTGCTTCTCACTCGATAGATTCCATCCATTTTCGCATCCGTCCAATAAAGCATTCTCGACGATGGATCGATGATCAAATCCGTCGGTTCTTTCACGTTTTCCGTCACGAAAGCTTCTCTGGAAAGGTGCGCTGTTTATTAGAATAATTACGGGCTTTAAATTCCTGTAATCATTCTAATAAAAGACCCAAATCCAATCCGATGGATCTAGCCGGATTGGATGGATTTCTTTTTCGTTTTTCTCAGCTTTCGTTAAACGAATTTGAAAACTTTAAATACCATTCGATAGAAAAAGAAATTTTCTATCGAATGGTATTAAAATTGTTCAAATTAAATAAAGTTACAAAGATAAAAACTCTATCTAAAAGTTGCTGCCTTATCGAGACATTTCTGAGATTTTAGTTGATCGAAGGCAAAGCCAAAGCTAAGCTAAAGCCAGCAAAGCCAAGGCAAAACCTTTAGCTTTCAATTGGTTTTGATACCATTCGATTGGAAAAGAAATTATCTATCGAATGGTGCTAAAAAGTCGAAATTTAGCTTTAATTTAACTTTTTTTCAGTTTTACAATAGTTTTGCTATGATTTAAAAACAATAATAGAAAAAAAGATGGTCAGCTATGAAGTTCTAAATTTAAAACAACGCTCACCGTCGACTTCCATCGAGATACGCTCGTTGAATGGTCGGCTTTTGGCCACCGTCAGCCCAGTACAAGTATCTAAAGGTTTTTCTCTGTACAAGTACTTTAGAAGACTGTACAAGACTGTACTAGACTGTACTGGACTGTACTAGACTGTACAAGACTGTACAAGACTGTACGAGAGTGTACAAGACTGTACAAGGTTGTACTAGACTGTACAAGACTGTACAAGACTGTACCAGACTGTACAAGACTGTACAAGACTGTACTGGATTGTACAAGACTGTACGAGACTGTACGAGACTGTACAATACTGTACAAGACTGTACGAGAGTGTACAAGACTGTACAAGGTTGTACTAGACTGTACAAGACTGTACAAGACTGTACAAGACTGTACGAGACTGTACAAGACTGTACGAGACTGTACAAGGTTGTACTAGACTGTACAAGACTGTACAAGACTGTACTGGATTGTACAAGACTGTACAAGACTGTACAATACTGTACAAGACTGTACGAGACTGTACAAGACTGTACAAGGTTGTACTAGACTGTACAAGACTGTACAAGACTGTACAAGACTGTACAAGGTTGTACTAGACTGTACAAGACTGTACAAGACTGTACAAGGTTGTACTAGACTGTACAAGACTGTACCAGACTGTACTGGACTGTACTAGACTGTACTGGACTGTACTAGACTGTACAAGACTGTACAATACTGTACAATACTGTACAAGACTGTACGAGAGTGTACAAGACTGTACAAGACTGTACTGGACTGTACTAGACTGTACTAGACTGTACAAGACTGTACAAGACTAGCTAAAATTAGCAAATCACAAAAGCAAACCTTCCAATGGGATCGACGGCAATACTCGACGGGGTTTCAGTTTTCGTTGTGAAAATAATCTTCCTATATTGACCGTCAAGTTTTGAAACCTAAAATCAAATCTCAATCTTTATCTCAAGCTCATTGAATCTCTTATTTATTTAATTTCAAATTGAAACCTCAATATTTGTTCGATCAGCGTCAACATTGATAAAATATAAATTGTAATTGATCCAATCAACGGCAATACTTCTAAAAAAAGAAATTCGAGATATGGAGAAGAAGAGAAAAGTCGGGAAACTCCGATTCTCTGAGAGGAATCAGAGAAATCTCTGAGAGGAATCAGAGAAATCTCTGAGAGGAATCAGAGAAATCTCTTTCAGCTATCAGAAGTTTGACGCTAATTTTCTCTATGTTTTTATCGGTACGTTCACAAAACAAAATCTATTGGGTTGGGGAGAATGAGTCGGCGCCAAACTTTAAAGGGACTTTTTGCACACATAAAGCCTTCTTTAAACATACGTTTGGTTTCATCAAAAGGATCCACTATTTCTCTACAAAATGACTTTTGAGAGATTCCACAAGGCTTTTCTTTCGTCGAGTTTATGAACTTCGAAAGCGCAGCTGGTTAAAATGGCAAAGAGCCCGACTCATCATTTGAACAGTTTCTTTCACATAAACCTTCTTTGGTGTTTATATAAAAAAGATAGAGCACATTCAATTACTTAAGTTGCCAAATTTGCAGGAAGATCCCACCAATGGTTTTTTCTAGATGACACTTTGTAGTTTTTGTGAAAAAATGGCTTTTTCTTGAGCGGAGGCGCTGTTTGAATTTTCTTTTAAATGTGATTTTGTAGAGAATTAGTTAACCATTCTACTCATATCAAACGCATATTATTTGACAAAGTCGAATTGAAGTTTTAGACATTTTTTTGATTTTCGGCGCCGACTCATTCTCCCCAACCCAATAGTTACCGTATTTACTCAAATTAGTGGGGTCCTATCTAAAAGTAGGGTCCTCACAATAGTGGGGTCGTCTGAGGTTAAAAAAGATATATTTGCGGGGTCCTCTCTAATATTGGTAACGAAAGTGATACATCAATTGTTGATCTCTTGGATTAGTTCTTTTACTGTTTGTTAATGTTTTGTTACGGTTAAAGCTAAATAAAATATGAAGCCAAACTTGTTTTTTCAAGAATTTCGGAGAAAAATTGATATCTTTTCAATTTAAAACTTTGGTTTTATGTTCTTTTAAATTTCTCTAATAGTGGGGTCCTCTCTAATAGCGCCTCCGCTCAAGAAAAATGGCTTTTTCTTGAGCGGAGGCGCTGTTTGAATTTTCTTTTAAATGTGATTTTGTAGAGAATTAGTTAACCATTCTGCTGATATCAAACGCATATTATTTCACGAAAGTCGAATTGAAGTTTTAGACATTTTTTTCATTTTCGGCGCCGACTCATTCTCCCCAACCCAATAGATTTCTTTAGGCAAATTTATTCTGTAGATTCTGTAGATTCGTAATCTGTAGATTCTAATGTAGATTCTAATGAAACCAATCATGAATTGTTTCAGCTTTTACATCTTGAGTTATCGCCGATTTAAGTGGATTAATTCTTCTAGGTAGGTAGTCTGACTTTGAATTGAAATTTTCTCGATGTTGTTACACTAGCATGTACGAAGTATTGGGTTTTCCAGTTTGTCCAGCGCGTTTTTTACTATTTTGTAAATTTCTCAAGATATCGAACAGATGTATATGATCCAAAGGCTTCATCCAAAGGCAACCCTCCATTTTTGGCGGTCACCGCTTTTTCTGTGCAGCCAATTCGCCCAAAAGCTCGACAAATTCAAAAGCTTTTTTTATATCAAAATGTAGAGGAGATCTTCAGCTTTCGAATAATACTCATAGATATCTTTTTCTTGATCTTGAACTTGATCGATAGCTTGAGAAAATTAAAGAATAGTAAAAAACGCGCATTTGATAACTGGAAAACCAAATATTGGGTTGATGCATAATTATCCGGACTTCTTTTATAAATGATTTTATTTAACAAAAAATAACATAAATAGTTAGAAAAATATGTTTAATTGATTATTCTGGAGCATATTCACCGCCTACATCAATAACTGATTGCCATTTGCTTGGAAGACGATCGATTCCACGAGCGAAGAATAAACGATCTTTGGAGGCAATCCACGCTTTAACATCGTCTATCAAGTCATCCAAATCGTTGTAGATCTTATTTGTTTGCCAATTTTTGAGCGATCGATTGACGTGGTAGTCCGTTGGGGCTTCAGTAGGAGAATATGGCGGGTGTGGAAGAAGATCCCAGCCCTTACTAGCGATGGATTCGACGACATGGCGCTCAACGTGCGGACGTGCGTTATCGTGGTGAAAGACGATGTTGTTCTTTTTGCGCGGTCTTCGTGCCTGAATTGCAGCATGTAAGCGTTCAAGTTGTGCCAAGTAGACGTCACTATTGATGTTCAATTGCTTCTTGCCATTTTTGTCTGGAATTCGCCATTGCTCACGTTCATCATCGTCATTCCACCAATAACAGATGCCGTTAGAGATGATTTCCCAGTGGATGATTCCGCTTCTGTCCCACCATACACACCACATTGCTTTCTTACAGTGGACATCTTTCGGTATTCCTTTAGGTGAAACACCTGGCGACACGCAGACTTTCTTTCTCTTGAGGTTCTTGAACAACAGCCATGATTCATCGCCTGTGACGAGATTCTTCAAAAACGGTGCTTCCTCGTTTCGTTGCAACAAATCGGTGAAAATTCGAAGGCGATCTGCTTGGTTCTTCTCGGAGAGTTCGTGTGGGACCCATCCAGCCAATTTCCATACTTTGCCAAGCTTTTTGAGATGGCGCACGATCGTTGACTGGTCAACATTGAATTCATCTGCCAGCATTCTGGTTGTCAGGCTTTCGTCTTCTTCAACGGCTTCCAGAAGTGCCTTGTCATCGAATTCTGATGGCCGTCCTCTTCCTGGTTCATCATCAACACTTGTGTTACCGGACTTGAAACGATCGAACCATTCATAAACTGTTGCACGTCCAATTGTTCCTTGACCAAAAAGTTCTTTGAGATCGCGAAACGACTCTGCGGCAGACCATCCCTTTTCGAAGTGGTAGAGCATGATATGGCGAAGATGGATATGATTGTCGACACGCATTTTGTTCACTAAAGAATAACGAATATTTAAAAAAAAGAAATAGACAAAAAGCTTTCAAAACAAAAAAGATACAAGCACGCAAAAAGAAGTCCGGATAATTATGCATCAACCCAATAATAATCAGAAATATCATTGTGAAAAATAAAAAACCAAGCTGGGAGTCGAACCCACCTTGATCAGTTCTGTAGACCACGACACTAACCACTAGACCACCGCGACAACGTAATGGACCATCCGAAATTCACCCAAATAAGACCATCCGAAATTTTATGCTGACTCGTTTTTGCAAAATCGCTGGGGGTCTCTTTATAAGGCTTACGCAGGGACCGTCCGAGATGGTTCCGTGGTGTAGTGGATAGTCGTTAGAATACAGGGCGGCTAGTCGAGGGTTCGACACCGCTTACTGCATTCTTTTATTGTTTTTCACTTTGATTCAGAAGGATTTCACAAAAAATTGCATCAACCAAATAAATTGTGGTTTTAAGCTTTCAGCTTTCAGCAAAATCAAAAAAATCAGCTCTATTTCTAGTCAGCAAAACTTTCTATATAATTAAAACGAAAATAATAACGCGAAATAATAACCAAAATTTCTTCGCACCTGATAGAATAAGTCGCCAAATGATCTCGGATTATTGGACGCGGTTGCGAGTCGCCCAATGTGTAAGCAGTGATTCCTATAAACCAAAAAAAACAGACATTTAAACATTGATTACAGTACGCAAAAGATACTGTAGCATTGGGAAATGATTTAGTTATTGAAATTGATCGAAATCAGCTTCTTTTCAACTTCCCCAACCCTTTCTAGAGAACGTTTTTCATCCTCAAACTTTCTCAACTCTTCAGCAACGAAAGCTAAGAGATTTTAAACACTATAGAAGCTTTTAGATAAAAAATATACCCTAAAAATCCTTAATGTCATCAAAAGCCGGATAAAAACACAAAAAAACACTATTTTTAAGCTTATCAACCCCTCCCCCGCCACTTTTCCCATTGACAAACTTTGAACTCAAATATCTCAGTGCTGGATTGTTCTATTTCGATTTTCTTGGAGTCATTAGATGCGCCAAGTCTTTAGCTATCGATTGGTATAGCAAGTATTGGAATTGGACAATCCAGCGCTGAGATATTTGAGCTCGAAGTTGGACTGCTGATGGCGAAGGGCGGCCACTTTTTATACGCGCCCCGCCACTCGCCTCCTAACTCAAATATCTCAGCGCTGGATTGTCCAATTCCAATACTTTTTATACCAATCGATAGCTAAAGACTTGGCGCATCTAATGATATCAAGAATATTGAAATTGGATAACCCAGTCCTGAGATATTTGAGTTCAAAGTTTGTCAATGGGAAAAGTGGCGGGGCTATCATTTATCTATTAAGTAAATATGGGTACTGTAGCTAGGGAGCCAGTGATGCCAATCAAAATAGCCAGCCATGCCATTGGCTGGCATTGGCTGGCTTACAATAATCACTAAAGAATCCAGTGCTAATTTAGTGAGGAATGAAATTCAAATCAATTTCCCTACCTTTATTGATTCCACTGGCCTCAGCGACAAAGAGCGTTTTGCTTTCGAAATCGAAATCAATCGAAGCGATTGCCATTCCACCGATTGGTTCCATCGCGATTCCCTTCGCTCCCGATTCCTCCATTCTAAAAAGTCGATGCAAACAAGATCGTAAGCTTTCTAGACTCACGGTACGCCGATGATCTTATTCTTTGAGGCAACGACAGCAAACTCTTCATCGTAAAGCTTGCAATTGGTTGATCCATCAAGACGAAAACCAGAAGCACAAATGCATGCATGCTAAGAAAAGTACGATGATAAAAAGTACTATAAAAGTACTCCAAAGTACTATCAAAGTACTATAAAGTACTATTATAGTACTTTTATAGTACTTTATAGTACTTTGGAGTACTTTATACTTTTATAGTACTTTATAGTACTTTACTATAAAGTACTAGAAAGTACTATAAAAGTACCTTATAGTACCTTATAGTACTTTTATAGTACTCCAAAGTACTATAAAGTACTAGAAAATACTATAAAAGTACTAAAAGTACTTAAAATACTAAAAGTACTATAAAAGTACTATAAAGTACTATAAAGTACTCCAAAGTACTATAAAAGTACTATAAAAGTACTATAAAGTACTATAAAAGTACTAGAAAGTACTATAAAAGTACTAAAAAGTACTATAAAAGTACTAAAAGTACTATAAAGTACTATAAAGTACTATAAAGTACTCCAAAGTACTATAAAAGTACTATAAAAGTACTAAAAAGTACTATAAAGTACTAGAAAGTACTATAAAAGTACTAAAAAGTACTATAAAGTACTATAAAGTACTATAAAGTACTCCAAAGTACTATAAAAGTACTATAAAAGTACTAAAAAGTACTATAAAGTACTAGAAAGTACTATAAAAGTACTAAAAAGTACTATAAAAGTACTAAAAAGTACTATAAAGTACTATAAAGTACTATAAAGTACTCCAAAGTACTATAAAAGTACTATAAAAGTACTAAAAAGTACTATAAAGTACTAGAAAGTACTATAAAAGTACTAAAAAGTACTATAAAGTACTATAAAGTACTATAAAGTACTCCAAAGTACTATAAAAGTACTATAAAAGTACTAAAAAGTACTATAAAGTACTAGAAAGTACTATAAAAGTACTAAAAAGTACTATAAAGTACTATAAAGTACTATAAAGTACTATAAAGTACTCCAAAGTACTATAAAGTACTATAAAGTACTATAAAGTACTATAAAAGTACTATAAAGTACTATAGAGTACTCATTGATAGATTAACTTGTAGATGGATGAAGATCTAGACTTTTAGCTGTGTGAAAGCTGTTAGAAAAACTCAGCAACTCTCACCGTCGAGTACTGCTTTGGGATGCAAATATGAGCACAATTTCCGTTACTCGTTCGACATGGATGATTGATCGATGCTGAAATTGGTGATGTCGATGTATGCTTGTAATTGACTTGTAACAAAGTTCTGAGCTCCTCTTAGATCCTATCTACACCTTAGATCATTCGAAGAGCTCCTCTTAGACCCTATCAACACCCTAGATCATTCGAAGAGCTCCTCTTAGATCCTATCAACACCTAGATCATTCAATGAGCTCCTTCTAGATCCTTTCAACACCTTCGCTCATTCCATTCACAGGTGTCACTCACCAAACCTTTACATTCTCCTTCTTTTACATTTATGAATCAAAGAATAGAATATGGGTAAAGAACTAGATCTGAATCACATAGCTAATGCTTTTGAAAACACATAGAGACTATAGAGTCTACTTGTAACGAAAATGACTGTCGGTCCCGTTTTCCCGCGAGTAATTTCTGGTTTTTCGTCCTTTTCTCAGCAAGAACTCTTCGATTTTGACTATATTGACTATCATTCGATGCAGAATGAAATTTCGCGTCGAATGACACCAAAACTAGCTTAAAATATAGTATCCATGCAAAGTTATTGGCTAAAAACCAAAACCACGCTTACTATGAGTGGGACCTAACCTTTTGCTCCATAACTTTGCATAGATATTACAGTTTAAGCTCATTTTGGTATCATTCGACGCGAAATTTTATTCTGCATCAAATGGTAGTCAAAATAGGCGAAATTGAAGGGTTCTTGCTGAGAAAAGGATGAAAAACTTTAAATTGCCTCATAACTTTGCATAGATATTATAGTTTAAGTCCATTTTGGTGTCATTCGACGCGAAATTTCATTCTGCATCGAATGGTAGTCAAAATAGACGTAATCGAAGGGTTCTTACTGAGAAAAAGACGAGAAACCCTAGCTTGCCAGGGAAAAAAGATGTTTTTGCCAACGACCTATGTTTTTGTTATAAATTTCCGATTAAATGCTTGAAAATAGAGAGCTTTTCGAGTGCTATTGGCTTTAAAAATGTGAAAAGACGCATACATGCTCTTGGTTGAATGACTTGAATGTTGACAAGGTTCTCGATTTCCTTCTTGAACACCGAGAATTGCGGGGGTTGACTGTCGCCAGTGATTGTGCCGACTTCAATCGCATCGAATGCTGAAAAGAAATCCATTTAGAAAGATAGATATAGAAAGATAGGTGTAGAAATATTGATCTAGAAATGAAATTGATCTAAAAATCTCTTCAAATAGCCAATCTAATCACCAGTGTCCGCATAGAAAAGTCGATCGGAGAAGAAAGCGAGCGCATTCGGCTGTTTCCCCGCGTCATTCAACACATAATGACGATCTTGACCCTCGTAAGTCACAGAGGTAATCTGAAAATTGAAAGTTAAAGCTAGATCTAGCTCTCTAGATCTAGCTCTCTAGATCTAGCTCTAGCTCTAGATCTATCTAGAGAGCTAGATCTAGCTCTCTAGATCTAGCTCTCTAGCTCTAGATCTAGCTCTAGCTCTAGCTCTAGCTCTAGATCTATCTAGCTCTCTAGATCTAGCTCTCTAGCTCTAGATCTAGCTCTAGCTCTAGCTCTAGCTCTAGCTCTAGATCTATCTAGCTCTCTAGATCTAGCTCTCTAGCTCTAGCTCTAGCTCTAGCTCTAGCTCTAGCTCTAGCTCTAGCTCTAGCTCTCTAGCTCTAGCTCTCTAGCTCTAGCTCTCTAGCTCTAGCTCTAGATCTAGATCTAGCTCTAGATCTAGATCTAGCTCTAGATCTAGATCTAGCTCTCTAGATCTAGCTCTCTAGCTCTAGCTCTAGCTCTAGCTCTAGCTCTAGCTCTAGCTCTCTAGCTCTAGATCTAGCTCTCTAGCTCTAGCTCTAGCTCTCATTCCTCTAACTCTTGACTCACTCGTCCAGCTCGAGCCTCCGAAAAATAAACTCTCTGATTGGTTGTATCCAAAGCAATGTGATCAACTTCGGTTAAATCATTGGAAGCAATGACTAAAGCATTCGTTCCATCCATATTTCCACGAGCTACCTGAACAAGTTTTTAAGATTATTAGAGAATTGCTAAAGAAATATCTATTCAATTTACTATTCTTATTCTATTCTTATTCTATTCTATTCAATTCTATGAATAAAATAAACCCCATAAATCGATTCTACGTCTCTGAAAACCCTAGAGTACATAGGTTAAACATTAAATTAGCTTGGAAATCGTTGATAGAACAAGAGAAATCTTTGTAGATCTTTGTAGATCTTTGTAGATCTTTGTGCGTTCTCTGTGCGTTCTCTGTGCGTTCTTTGTGCGTTCTTTTCGCAATTAAACTCACTTTAATCTACTCTAGAATCAATTTGACTTTAGCTTAAAGCTTTTAAACTTTTAAATGAGCTTTTAACTAGTTTTTAAATGAAAAGAAAAACCCGAATGAATTCAAATTTTGAAAGAGATTTAAATGAGGAATTAGACAAAAGAAAGAAGACAGTAAAGGGTAAAGTAAAGGCTAAAGTAAAGGCTAAAGTTGTTCTTCTTGTCATTTTCGAGCTATTCTCGAAGCTAGGCTGTTCTTTTTGTTCTTCCCCTCATCTCACTTTCGCATCCGACGCTCCTCCACCACGATCCAACCAAAAGAGCACACCACGATCCGAGTCAACAGCTAAAGCAACCGGGTGAACGACGGCTGTCGGTGATTGATCATTGTTCAGAATGGTCGCTCGGAACTGAAACCATTTTTATTATTCAAGATTCCTTTGCGCTGTACGAACAAAGAGTTTCGATTGTGGGACATTTGATACCCTTTTCCCATTGACAAACTTTGAACTCAAATATCTCAGGACTGGGTTATCCAATTTCAATATTCTTGGTATCATTAGATGCTCCAAGTCTTTAGCTATCGATTGGTAAAAGATCTATTGAAATTGGACAATCCAGCGCTGAGATATTTGAGCTTAAAGTTTGCCAATAGGAAAGGAGCGGAAAGGGACGCCATTTGCCATTGGCAAACTTTGAGCTCAAATATCTCAGCGCTGGATTGTCCAATTCCAATAGTTTTTTTACCAATCGATAGCTAAAGACTTGAAGCATCTAATGACTCCAAGAAAATCGAAATAGAACAATCGAGCACTGAGATATTTGAGTTCAAAGTTTGTCAATGGAAAAAGGGGTATCGAATGTCCGATAATCAAGAGTTTGGGCTTTGTGGTATGTTTTTAAAAAGCAGGCCTGGTAGCCTGGATCTGAATTTGTAGGCTAGGGGTAGCTTTGCTGGCTTTGTAGGCTAGGTCTAGTTAGTTTTGTAGGCTAGGTCTAGCCTTGCTGGCTTTATAGGCCAGGCCTAGCCTTGCTGGCTTTGTAGGCTAGGTCTAGCTTGCTTTGTAGGCTTGGCCTAGCTTGCTTTGTATGCCAGGCCTAGTCTTCCTGGCTTTGTAGGCTAGGCCTTGTTGGTTTTTGCAGGCTAGGTCGGCTTTGTAGCCTTGCTAGCTTTGCTGGCTTTGCCTAGCCTTGCTTTGTAGGCCAGGTTTAGGCCGGGTCCTATGTACAAAACCCAAACTCTTCGGCTGAATAATGATTCGATTGTTAGTGAGAAGCTGAAATGAGATTTTCTAGAGTGTTTTGCTTTTTCGCTTTCGCAACTCTTTTGCATACAAGTAAATCCGAGGTGAAATCCTCGAAAATGTCCAAAAATGGATTGACGTTGTGCCATTTTGAGCCATGATCCTTGAAATTATGCAAAAAAAGATAAATGTTTGAGAAAAAAGGTAATTTTGAGAAAAAAAGGGTAATTTTGAGACTACGAAAGTACTGTAGTACTGTAGTACTGTAGTACTGTAGTATTGTGGTACTGTAGTACTGTAGTACTGTAGAAAGTACTGTAGAAAGTATTGTCGAGGAAAAAGAAACATTTCAAACCTTGTTTCCCGTCGTTCGAATGACTTCAATCGTTTGCGAGAGGCGATTTCCGACAAAAAGATTTCGACCATTCCAATCAAAAGCCATACAAAAGGCATCATCTGGGATCTGACTCGCGAACACTTGAGAGCGGTTATTCCCGGAAAGGCTGGCTCTAGAATTGAAATATTCGTTTTTAGTGGTCTCTAGTTGTCCCTAGTTGTCTCTAGTTCTCTCTAGTTGTCTCTAGTTCTCTCTAGTTGTCCCTAGTTGTCTCTAGTTCTCTCTAGTTCTCTCTAGTTGTCTCTAGTTGTCTAGTCTATCGATCTCTCAAGATTTCTATCCAATCAATCTCTATTTCCTTCAAAATAGGATAACTAAGCTTTGAATTGATTTGAATAATTTGTACCTGGTAATGACGGCATCGGTGGAAAGCTGTAAGAGTGAACGAGCGATGCTCGAATGCTCGAGAACGAAGAGCTAAAGTTTTCGAATGATTACAGTACTCTTGACAGTATAAAGATGAAGTTCATTATTGAATTTCATTGATTTCATTGATTTAAAGCCAGACGACTGATTGGGACGTCTGATTGGGACGTCTGATTGGGACGACTGATTGGGACGACTGATTGGGACGTCTGATTGGGACGTCTGATTGGGACGACTGATTGGGACGACTGATTGGGACGTCTGATTGGGACGTCTGATTGGGACGACTGATTGGGACGACTGATTGGGACGTCTGATTGGGACGTCTGATTGGGATTTCTGGTTGAGACGTCTATTTCTGGTTCCTGGCTGGGACGTTCCTGGCTGGGACGTTCCTGGTTGGGACGTCCGTTCCTGGTTGGGACGTCCGTTCCTGGTTGGGACGTCCGTTCCTGGTTGGGACGTCCATTTTCGATCGGACGTCCATTTTCGTCCAGACTGGGACGTCCATTTTCTGATCGGACGTCCATTTTCGATTTAGATTGGGCAGAGGCCTTTAACGACAAAAACCTTTATCAAACTGACATCAGGCTAAATTGACTGTTGTGAATTTAGCCTAGCCTGGTGTCAGTTGGACAGAGGTTTTTGACATTACCTCTGCTCCAGCGACCTCTGCTCCAGTGACCTCTGCTCGAGTGACATCAAGCTAACTTGACAACAGTCTGGGTGAATCTAGCCTTATATCAGTTAGGCAGAGATCTTTAGCGTCAGTAACACGTTTAATATAGTTAATGAGATTTTGGAGGTACTGCCATTGCCATTGCCATTGCCGAATATCGAGAAAACTTTTTAACAATTCTTTGTTGTTTGAGCGGCTGATTTTGAGGTGGATGGCCTGGGTTAAAAGAAAAATGAAAAGAAAACAAACATTTTGTCCATCAGGATCATAGCCAGCATCGAATGCATTTTGAAATCCGGCCATTGGAGTCATTCCGGCAAGGAGTGGAGTGACGTTTACCCTAGAGAGTTTCTTAAAGCTTGAGTCTATCAAATCATAATCATTCTATATATAAAAACAGCTCTCTTGATATTTTAAGCTGTTGAAAAGAGAGAACGATCAAGGGGAAAAGGATCGACTTTTCAAGGATCAACTTTTCAAGGTTCTGCAACGTTTCCCCGTACGACATTCGCCCAAAAACTTGATGGTTGATAGTTTATGGCTAAATCTGATTTCAGATTCAGAAACTAGAGATGATTTAACGTTGAGGAGAGCTCGTTGAGCTATCAACTCTCTATGGAGCTCTCTGTGGAGCTACCAGCTCTCCGTGAAGCTATCAACTCTCTATGGAGCTCTCTGTGGAGCTATCAGCTCTCTGTGGAGCTCTCTGTGGAGCTCTCTGTGGAGCTATCAGCTCTCTGTGGAGCTCTTTCTGGAGCTCTCCGTCGAGCTATCAACTCTCCGTTGAGCAGCAATCAATTTTACAGTGACAAATCGTGCGTTGAAACGTTGCAAAACATTGAAACTTGCTATAAGACTGTACACTAACAGGACTCTAGCAAGTCATAACTACGCATTGCTACGTTTACAGTATCAACAGTAAACAGCAAACGTCTGGAAAACTCTTTGAGCTCACTTTGGCGCCATTTCGACTCCAAAAACGTTCGTCTTTTGGACAAGCAACAAGAATGGTTTCTCGTCGGGCACACACTCATGACCAGCTGTGTCCAATCTACGTCCCATTGGGCAAGCACAGGTGTAAGACTGAAATAGGGTTACTTAGGAAGAATAGGATTGCTTAGGAAGAATAGGATTACTTAATAACAATTGAATTACTTAATAACAATTGAATTACTTAATAACAATAGGATTACTCAATAACAATAGGATTAAATAACAATAGAATTACTTAATAACAATAGAATGCCCATTTCCATAGCTTTTAATCAATGAAAAGGCTAAAGGAGCATTGCGTAGTCTAGAAGAATCATTTCTTAAGTCATTAGTCATTCTTAAGTCATTCTCAACAATTGCAAGAATGAAATGAATTGAAAGAAAGTAAAAACTGACCCCTTTCGCACCGATCAAGCAAAGATGACTGCACATATTGTGCTCGCACGGGTTTTTCTTCACCTTTAAACAACAATTTTACATTCTATTGGGTTTTCTGTAGAAAAAGAGCCGAATCTGGTTGAGTTTCTTTGTCGCTGTGACGCTGTTGGCTTCTTTACAGCTTCTTTACAGCTTCTTTACAGCTTCTTTACAGCTTCTTTACAGCTTCTTTACAGCTTCTTTACAGCTTCTTTACAGCTTCTTTACAGCTTCTTTACAGCTTCTTTACAGCTTCTTTACAGCTTCTTTACAGCTTCTTTACAGCTTCTTTACAGCTTCTTTACAGCTTCTTTACAGCTTCTTTACAGCTTCTTTACAGCTTCTTTACAGCTTCTTTACAGCTTCTTTACAGCTACAAGCCAGATAGCTTGCGTATGGGCAGCTGATTTTTACAACATTGTGATCAGTCAATTCTAAAACTGCTATTTTGTCATCGGGTGATCGACCAGTACTAGATCTAGAGTCCTAAATCGGACCAGCTACTCTCCTTATCAGGTACTACTTGTGAATCAGATTAGGCAAGAGCAGAAGCCAGCTCTGATCAAAAGAAAAGAATACATTTCCCTATTGGATAAACCTTTGGTTGCAATACTGGATGAACAGCGACCACTCCTAAAGCCTTCGAGAAAGTGTGCGATCGATAATCACCAAGCGTTCCGTTCGGGTATTTCGGGTAGATCTAAAGACGATCGATTACAATAGTACTTATAGCCAGAATTATGGTCAAACTTATAGCTAAACTATAGCTAAACTATAGGCAAACTATAGCTAAACTTATAGCTAAATCTATAGCTAAACTTATAGGCAAACTTATAGCCAAAAGTACAGCTAAAATTATAGCCAAAAGTATAGCTAAACCATAGGCAATCTATAGCCAGATCTATAGCTAAACTTATAGTTAAACTATAGGCAAACTATAGGCAAAAGTACAGCTAATCTTATAGCCAAACTTATAGCTAAATCTATAACTAAATCTATAGGCAAACTATAGCCAAACTATAGCTAACCTATAGCTAATCTTATAGTCAAAAGTACAGCTAAACTTATAGCTAAACTATAGACCAAAAGTACAGCTAAACTTATAGTTAAACTATAGGCGAACTATAGGCAAAAGTACAGCTAATCTTATAGCCAAACTATAGCCAAACTATAGCCAAATCTATAGAGAAATCTATAGCTAAACTATAGCTAAATCTATAGCTAATCTTATAGTCAAAAGTACAGCTACACTTATAGCTAAACTAGAGGCAAATCTATACCCAAAAGTACAGCTAAACTTATAGCTAAACTAGAGGCAAATCTATAGCCAAAAGTACAGCTAAACTTATAGCCAAAGCCAAACAAAGATTAAAGTATTAAATGTTTTAGTTAAACAGCTTTTTAACACAATTTTCTATTCCATTCCATTCCATTCCATTCTCCATTCCATTCCATTCTCCATTCCATTCCCCTCACCTGCAACTTTTGAAGTCTCCGATCCGAGTAGTAGATCTTGTCCTCGAAAATCGCAACCGCATGCGGATGTTGCACGAATTTTTGAGCGGAAATCACTTGAGTTCGACCTAAAGCTCGCTTTTCTTTAAAGCTTTTCAACTTTTAAACTGACCACTCCCATCGTAGTTGACAAAATCGATGTAATCGAGCTTCGAATCAGCAAAGTAAACTCGTTTTGTCGTGAAATCAAGCGCAATCGTGTTTGGCCAATAGATCTAAAGCTTTATCTAAAGCTAAAGCCAATAGATTTTATTTTAAATTTGTTTAACTTTTAAAAACAATCGTAATCTTGGGTTTAATTTTGCAAAAATGCAGCCAACCGGGTTCGAACCTGTGCCCTGAGGGTAGCTGCTGGATTTAGAGTCCCCCGCTCTACCAACTGAGCTATGGGTGATGGTGGAGGGGGGTTGAAAATGGGGTTATCTTTGGGTCGCTTTGATTAATGCTTGGATAGCTTTGATTAACTCAAAGCTTTTGCTTTAAAACGGCTAAAAAAAGACGGCCACCACGTCCAGCCATAGCTCAGTTGGTAGAGCGGAGGACTGTAGAGCGAGCAGCTATCCTTAGGTCACTGGTTCGAATCCGGTTGGCTGGAAGTTTTTTGCAAAAAACAGTTTCCACAAAAAAAACAGATTTAAAGTAAGGTAAACTATTAAGTAAACGTTCTAGAAACGTTTTTTAAAGTTAAACGTTAACGTTTAACTTCAACGTTAACGTTTATTCAACGTTAACGTTAAACGTTCTTGATTACGGTGATCGATTCATGGTTCTTGGTTACGGTAATCTAAAGTGCTAACCCTATCAAGATATTGAATTAATTTCACCTTGTCTTTGACGATAATCTCTCGATTCGAGCCGTCCATATTGGCTCGTTCGATTCTCGGTAATTGACCCCAATCCGACCAGAAGAGAAGGCCTGAAGTGTGGCTTAGATATTGTAGATTGGATATTGTAGATTGGATATTATGGCTTGGATATTGTAGATTGGATATTGTAGCTTGGATATTATGGCTTGGATATTATGGCTTGGATATTGTAGCTTGGATATTATGGCTTAGATATTGTAGATTGGATATTGTAGCTTAGACACTATAGCAAACTAGTACAGTTTCTTTTAAAGCTTTTCAGATAAAAACCTAAGCCATAAACTAGCCTATTTAAAGCTATTTAAAGCTATCTAAAGCTATTTAAAGCTATCTAAAGCTATTTAAAGCCTTTAGATACTGTACTATGTACTAGTATTAAAGCGTAGACTTTTCGACTATGGACAGTAGCTTTCTGTGCATAGTAGTGCCTCAACCGGAGTCGAACCAGTCACCTAAGGAGAGCTGCTCGCTCTACAGTCAGTAATTTACCAAAATTACTGTAGCTTTTTTAAAAACTAGCCTGTAGATTACTGTAGCTTGTAGATTTTTGTAGATTAGCTTTTTTGTAGATTAACTTTAAAACTGACCCTCCAGCGGATCGACGGCGATTCCACGCGGTTGTGACACGTTTTCGTGCACAAGAAGAGCTCGAGCTCCCGGTTTTTCAAGGCTAGCCACCTGAATTTAGCTTAAAATCTAGTACACTAGAAGAATGTGTTTCCGTGAGCACAAAGTGCACTAGAGCACAAAGTACAAGGCTCGAAAAACAAACCTCGATAGTATTCAGCGATGAGTCAACCCAGTAGATATTCCGTGCAACCCAATCAATCGCGATTCCCTCAGTGATGTCAAGACCTAGAGCTTTCATTTATTGAATAACTTGAACTGAATAACTATTTGTTCTTAGAAATCTAATCCTTCAATTGTAAGAGAGTTTGTAAGCCGAGTTTCTCAGCCAAGTTTCTAAGCCAAGTTGTAAGCCAGCCAAGTTTCTAAGCCAACTTTCTCAGCCAAGTTTCTCAGCCAAGTTTCTCAGCCAAGTCTCCTCTCTCTCTTCTCTCTCTTCTCTTCTTTCTCTTCTCTTCTCTCTCTTCTCTTCTCTCTCTTCTCTTCTCTCCAATCTTTCCCCTTCCTCACTCACCTTCTCCAATCACCACGCTAACATTAGTGCCATTGCGAGTAGCCGAGAAGATCTTCTTCTCTCGGATATCCGACCAGAAAATTCGATCCGTTACAGAGTCCCAAGCAAGAGCGATCGCGTTCTCTACCTAGAAATCTTTGATTGTTTGCTTGTTTGATTGTTTGCTTGTTTGTTTGTTTACTGTTTGCTTCTTTGCTTGTTTGCTTATTTTGTTGTTAAACTGTATTCTAGCCTTGTATTTGCTGTTAAACTTTAGCATTTCATAGCCTTACCACTTGCCTAGCTTTTAACCAGCTTTAACCAACTTTGAGTCCATTTTTCATTGCGATTTTGCAAAAATCCCGAAAAAGTTCCAGCCAACCGGATTCGAACCAGTGACCTAAGGATAGCTGCTCGCTCTACAGTCCTCCGCTCTACCAACTGAGCTATGGCTGGGACGGGCTGCCGGGTTGGAAATGGGGTTATCTTTTGGCATTTTTATCTTATTCCTGCGGCTTTGACTAACTCAATACTTTAAATGCTTTTACTTTAAAACAGCTAAAAAAAACCGGCCACCTAGCCCAGCCATAGCTCAGTGGATAGAGCGGGGGACTGTAGATCGAGCAGCTATCCTTAGGCCACTGGTTCGAATCCGGTTGAGGTGATTTTTTGGAAAATAGCTGGAAAACAGCTTCAAAATGCAAAGAGGAGATTAAAGCTGCAGATTAAAGTTAAGGATAATGTTTTCTTTAGATTTTCTTATATTTAATGAATTTTGATCATGTTTAGAATGAAATTTAGTGGAATTTAGTGGGATTGAGAGGAATTGAGAGGAATTGAGAGGAATTGAGTGGGATTGAGTGGAATTGAATGGGATTGAGTGGGATTGAATGGAATTGAATCGAATTGAATCGAATTGAATCGAATTCAATCGAATTGAATCGAATTCAATCCAATTCAATCCAATTCAATCCAATTCAATCCAATTCAATCGAATTCAATCCAATTCAATCGAATTCAAATCTATAACGAACGGAGAATCGTAAGAGCCCTCTCTTACCTGCTAAGAATTGCGCAAAGGCGTTTAAAAGAGTTAAATATGATAATTTCTATAGCTTAACTCCAAAAGAATCAAAAACCGAACAGTTTTTCACGATGTATAGCTAAAAAGACGGGGACCACGTCCAGCCATAGCTCAGTTGGTAAAGGTATGGCTTGTAGATCGAGCAGCTATCCTTGGGCCACCTTAGGCCACAGTTTTTCACGATTTATAGCTTTCACGAAGCTCTACGATGCTTTTTCATCGTAGAGCTTTCACGAAAAAGATCTACGATGCTTTTTGCCCCACTCACCATCGCCGAAAATGTTCTCCAATTCTCGAGATTCGCGTCACTCCAATAAATTCGATTCCGATTCGACACGTAAATCCTCGCCTCCGATCGCTCATTTGTGACTTTACAAGTCTTTTTGTCTGCATCAAGTGTATACCCATCATCACAAGAGCACTCCCATCCATGCTTCAAATCTTTACACTTTTGAGAACAAGTGCGCGGGTCGAGGCACTCGTTCTCCGGCTCGCATCGGGTTTTGTTAACCAGCTGAAATTAAATTTCCATTTTAAGGGTTTCCATTAGGTAACAAGACTGAATTGCTAGACTTTTAAGGAAAATATCTCTCTTGGCAAGGTTTTTTGTCTTTTTCTCAGCAAGAACTCTTCGATTTTGACTATATTGACTACCATTCGATGCAGAATGAAATTTCGCGTCGAATGGCACCAAAATGGACTTAAACTATAATATCTATGCAAAGTTATGAGGCAATTTAAAGTTTTTCATCCTTTTCTCAGCAAGAACCCTTCAATTTTGCCTATTTTGACTACCATTTGATGCAGAATGAAATTTCGCGTCGAATGATACCAAAATGAGCTTAAACTGTAATATCTATGCAAAGTTATGAGACAAAAGATTAAGTCCCACTCATAATAAGCGTGGTTTTGGTTTTTAGTCAATAACTTTGCATGAATATTATATTTTAAGCTAGTTTTGGTGTCATTCGACGCGAAATTCCATTCTGCATCGAATGATAGTCAATATAGTCAAAATCGAAGAGTTCTTGCTGAGAAAAGCACGAAAAACTTTAAATTGCCTCATAACTTCGCCTGGATACTATGTTTTAAGCCCATTTTGGTATCATTCGACGCAAAATTTTATTCTGCATCGAATGGTAGTCAATATAATCAAAATAGAAGGGTTCTTGCTGAGAAAAAGACGAAAAACCTCTGACTTTCTGACGAAAAACCTTAAATTACAGACAAAAAAGAACTGACAGCTGTTTTATTTAGAAGCAATTCAGTTTTGTTAGCTGAAAAGTTTCTGAGCATACTAGTACCCACCATTTCACCAAAAGGACAACTGCAAACAGGTCCATCGGGTCCATCATGACATTTGTAAACGCAACCGGCTCGATCAGCTGAGCACAGATTCCGCGCACATCGACCACCCTCATCCGAGCCTTAAACATCATAAAGATCAAGAAAAACGGTACTCGATGATGGACCGCTAAGGGTTCGGGGTCATTCCGTAAAATTGGCAAGAGCTATTTTCTTTAAATTGCGTTTTTTCTTCTATCTGGATGTCACATTAGGATTTTTAGAATTCAGATTTTTGATTTTCACCAAAAAATGGTACTCGATGATGGACCGCTGAGAGTTTGGGGTCATTTCGAAAAATTGACAAGAGCTATTTTCTTTAAATTGCCTTTTTTCATCTATCTGGATGTCACACTAGAATTTTTAGGGTTCAGATTTTGATTTTCACCAAAAAAACGGTACTCGATGATGGACTGCCAAGAGTTCGGGGTTATTTCGAAAAATTGACAAGAGTAATTCTCTATAAATTGCGTTTTTTCATCTATCTGGATGTCACACTAGAATTTTTAGGATTCAAATTTTTGATTTTCATCAAAAAATGGTACTCGATGATGGACCGCTGAGAGTTTGGGGTCATTCCGAAAAAGTGACAAGCGTAATTTTATTTTAATTCCGTTTTTTCTTCTATCTGGATGTCATACTAGAATTTTTAGAATTCGGATTTTGATTTTCACCAAAACATTTGTACTCAATAATGGACCGCTAAGAGTTCGGGGTTATTTCGAAAAATTGGCAAGAGCTATTTTCTTTAAATTGCCTTTTTTCATCTATCTGGATATCACACTAGAATTTTTAGAATTCAGATTTTTGATTTTGACATCATAAAGATCAAGAACGGATGAGAGATCAAACCTCCAGGACATTGCTCTTTCCCATCGCAGAGTTGATCGAATCGAATGCATTGCTCGGGCGCATTTGGGCAAGCGATATGTTCAAAGGGACATTTTAACTGAAAAAACATTGACATTTCTTTTCAACCCTCTTCCTCGAACCGCATTCACATTCTTGTGACAACCACTCGCTTCTGTTTCATCGGATCCATCACCGCAATCGTTTTCTCCGTCACATTTCCACGCATTCAAGATACATCTGCCATTTGTGCAACGGAAATGATCGGCTTTACATTGTTGTCCTTGTCGACCGCAGTCACGTGGCTCATCCGAGCCGTCATCGCAATCCTAAAACCAATCCTTAGCTATTGGAAGCTATTGGCTACAGTAAGTTTTGTTAAAATAAGATTACTACAATTTCTTTTTACCCTTTGTCCATCGCATTTCCAATTGGCTGGAATGCAGAGTCCGGTGGAGACACACGTGAACTGTTCGGGGTTACAGACTCCTTCCTAGAACTCGATGAATAATCAATAAAAGAATATACAATGTAACTATGGATTTATAGGCTGAACTTGGGGTAAAGCAGCCTATAAATTTGCTCTGCTAAGAGTTCGGGGTTATTCCGAAAAATTGGCGAGAGTAATTTTATTTTAATTGCGTTTTTTCTTCTATCTGGATGTCACACTAGAATTTTTAGAATTCAGATTTTTGATTTTCACCAAAAAACGGTACTCGATAATGGACCGCTGAGAGTTCGGGGTTATTTCGAAAAATTGGCAAGGGTAATTTTCTTTAAATTGCGTTTTTTCATCTATCTGGATGTCACCCTAGAATTTTTAGAATTCAGATTTTTGCTTTTCATCAAAACAAATTTGCGCCCGATGTGCGTATCCTTTACCTTAGCCCTTTACCGTCCCCTTTACCATACAATTTATTTAAATTCCATTTTTTCTCTTATCTGGATGTCACACTACCCTTTACCCACCTGGATTGCACAACTGTCCTCATCGCTTCCATCCTCGCAATCCTGTTGCCCGTCGCATTGATTCTTCAACGACACACACTGCCTCCCATTCGCACATCGGAATTGATCAGCTCGGCATTGTACTGGCGGGCATCGCTCTTTATCTTCATCCGTATTGTCATAGCAATCATTGTCCCCATCGCAGAGCCAATAAATCGGTATACATCGACCATTCGCACAGGAGAATTGATTCGCAGCACAGGTTACATTCGAGCACAACTCGAGTTTCTCATCGGAGCCATCACCGCAATCATTGTCCGAGTCACATTTCCATTGCTCGGGGATGCAACGGTGATTGTCACATTGGAATTTCTTTGCTGAGCAAACCTGGAAAGTTGTTGGGAGTCTTTGGAAAGATTTTTAAGACTCACCGGTCGTTGCCCATCCTTGCAATATTGTACATCTTCATCGGAGAAATCTCCGCAATCATTATCTCCATCACATCCATATTGAGCCGGGATGCATTTCTTCGTGGTCTTGCATCGAATCGTGTTCTCCGGGCATTGTTCCTAGAAATCTCTGTAGGCTGGCTGGCTGGCTGGCTTAGGCTGGCTTAGACTGGCTTAGGCTGGCTTTAGGCTGGCTTTAGGCTGGCTTTGGCTGGCTTTGACTGGTTTAGGCTGGCTTTAGGCTTGCTTAGGCTGGCTTTGGCTGGCTTTGACTGGTTTAGGCTGGCTTTAGGCTTGCCTAGGCTGGCTTTGGCTGGCTTTGGCTGGCTTTAGGCTGGCTTTAGGCTTGCTTAGGCTGGCTTTAGGCTGGCTTTGGCTTGCTTAGGCTGGCTTTGGCTGGCTTAGGCTGGCTTTAGGCTGGCTTTAGGCTGGCTTTAGGCTGGCTTTTAGGCTGGCTTTAGGCTGGCTTTGGCTGGCTTAGGCTGGCTTTAGGCCGGCTTAGGCTGGCTTAGCTAGTTGTCTAAGGATTCCTTTTAGAACCTGTCTCACCTCATGATAGCACTTCTCTCCCTTCTCATCAACTTCATCAGATCCATCAAGGCAATCATCTTCTCCATCACATTTCCATTCTTTCGGAATACATCGACCATTCTTGCACTGGAGTTGCGAGTCAGTTGAGCACTTTGTTTCTTCTTCTTTTGGTGAATTCGAGTCTCGAATGCATAGATGTTGATCAGAGGGATTGATTTTAAAAGAATCTTTGCATCCACATCGTTTTACGAGCTCTGTCGCCTCGATAAAGTTCTCCTTGTTCGGCACAGCGAAGCAGAGTTGCCGGCAAGCTTGATCGCTGTCAGAGTTGATGCGACAGGGATGATCTTTGGCTGGATCGCTAGGCGGTGGTTGATTCGATTGAGCGCAAGCTGGAAGAAAGAAAGATTGAATTGTAAGCAGGGGAAAGAGGGAACTGACCTTTGAGCGAGAAAATGCTTCTCTCTTCCTTGTCAAACTCTCTCACAACATGTCCCGGTCCGCCATTCATTTTATTGACGCGTCGAATGGAGTATGGCCGTTGGTGCACATAGTAAAGGTTTTCTGGAATGAAATTAAAGTCTCATCGAAGTTTGATAGCTGATTAATCTCTCTCCAAGCTCTCCAAGCTCTCCAAGCCCTCCAAGCCAAGCTCTCCAACCTATCCAATCACTGATACTCACCTCCCATAATCGCTAAAGCAATTGGAATTGGTGGTGTATCGATCGGCAACTGGAAAACTCGACCACCATCAAAATCCATGCAACTAAAGGAATTTAAAACAGTTTAGAGCATTCTATGATTCCAAAGATGACTCTAAAGATGATTCTAAAGATAATTCTAGAGAACTAGACTTGATTTGGCTTCATCCACAAGAGCTGGATCAAGCCAGAGACTACTGTAACTACATCTAGCTTACAGTAATCCCTTACCCTCAGAAATCAACCTGAGCCTAAGCCTGAACCTAGCTGGTCAGATTAGACTAGCTCAGACTCGACTAGAAGCTCAGATCCCAGTCCAGAAGCTCAGACTCCAGTCCAGAGGCTCAGACTCCAGTCCAGAAGCTCAGATTACTGTAGCTATATCTGGCTTACAGTAATTCCTTACGGTAAGGGATGACCGTAGCTTCATCGAGCATTTTTAGAAAATGGTTAGAATGAAGATAAAGCTGATCAAGTCCCTGAACCAGCCTAGTCTCACTGCTGGACTGGGATATCCTAGAAATTGACTTTTCTATCTTTCTGTAGATCCAACCAGCCTCTTGGCCTAGAGCCTTGAGCCCTAAGCCCAAGCCTAAGCCTAAGTCTGAGCCTAAGCCTAAGCCTAAGTCTGAGCCTAAGCCTAAGCGCAAGCCTAAGCCTAAGCCTAAGCCTGAGCCTGAGCCTGAGCCTAAGCCTACGCCTAAGCTTGAGCCCAAGTCTGAGCCTGAGCCTAAGCCACGCCTGACTTTAACCAAGCCTGAGAAAAAGTAATTTATGCTACCTGATCGATTTGAGAAGCGTATCCCCAAAGCACAGCTTGTCCCTCTCAAAATCGATGACCAGTTCGGAGGGTCTTCCAAGAGTTGTATTCCGAATCACCTGACAATTCGTGGCATCAATAAAACAACGATAGATTTTCGCGGGTCGTTGAGCTTCTGCATAGAAAAGGAGACCCTTCCACGGGTGGACAACCACGGAGACTGGGTCACTAAAATTTTAGGGTTGATCGTAAGCGATAATCCTGACATAATCGACTAGAGCTGAGAACTGTCAGAGATCTTTTTCTGTAGCTACTGTAGTCTAGGCAGAGTCCAGGGCTTACTGGGCTTACTGTAGGTTTACGATAGTTTGGCTCATCAAGTACAATAACCATGCTAAGTTATGACATCTCAAAGTAGCCTAGATAGCCTAGGTACAAGGCTTACGATAGCGTCAGGATTACGGTGGTTTGAGCCCTTTACTGATTACGGTAGGATAGGTAGCCCGGATTACGGTGGACCCAGGATTACTTTAGGCTCAAGATTACGGCAGGACCAGGATTACGGTAGAGGCAAGATCACGGTAGGGCCAGGATACGGTAGCCCCAGGATTACGGTATCCCCATGATTGCGGTAACTCCAGGATACGGTAGCGTCAGGATTCCGGGATCGCCATGATTACGGTAGCACCAGGATTACGGTAGCCTCAGGATAGTGATAGCATCAGGATTACGGCAGGACCAGGACTACGGTAGAGGCAAGATTACGGTAGGGCCAGGATTACGGTAGCATCAAGACTACGGTAGAGCTAGGATAACGGTAGGGCCAGGACTACGGTAGGGCCAGGATTACGGTAGGGCCAAGACTACGTTGGAGCCAGGATTACAGTAGCCTCAGGATTACGGTAGGGCCAGAACTACGGTAGGGCCAGGATTATCATAAAGTCAAGAATACGGTAGGGCCAGGATTACGGTAGCGTCAGGATACGGTAGCCAGGATTACGATAGGATTCAAATTCAAATCAAACCTACCGCAGATTCGTGAGCAATTGTCGATGCACGAGCGAATCGGGATTGACGAGCCCTTGGTCTAACACTTTGACCACTTCCAAGCTGTCTCTAATGTTGTCGACATAGAACAACTGCTTTGAGACCCAATCGAAAGACATCGAGACAAGGCCATCGTTATGCGTGACAAGGACGGCCGTTTGACTTTCCCCGTCGTTCGTTTGGTGATAAATCGTGTTGTCCATGATGTCAGCGTAGAAAAACGAGTTCCCATTCACATCGCACTCAACCTGAAAACAGATTTAAATCAAATTTGATCGATTATCAGAGGATTCTCTTTGTTTTAAAGTGTTTAAAGCTTTCCAGTCTCTTCTACCGAGTTCTAATTGCTAGATTCGATAAAATGAATGTTTCCAATCGATTGCCCGTCCCTGAAAACCCCCGGATACAAATTTACAGCTGAATATCTCTATTTTAAACCATCTCCATCCAAAAAAGAAGAAAAGAGAGGTGTTCTTTGTGCGTTCTTTGTAGCGCCTCGTAATCGCTCTCCATCTGGCTCACGTTGCCGATAGATAGTCGTCGTTCTTTGTAGGGCCGCGTAATCGCTCTCCATCTGGTGCACGTTGCTGATAGATAGTGGTCGTTCTTTGTAGCGCCGCGTAATCGCTCTCCATCTGGCGCACGTTGCCGATAGATAGTCGTCGTTCTTTGAAGAGCAGCGATCCCACGCCCCCCGGAGATGTGTCGTCGTGGCCAAGTGGTTAGTCGCTAGGCTCTCACCCGGTTGGTCCAGGTTCGACCCCGGCCCCGGCAAAACCCTTTGGTTTTTTGTAAAACTTGGTAAAACCTCTTAAAATCCTAACTGTGAAACCCATTGCCATGTAAATTCTAATTTCTTTAACTTTATGTAGTTTAGGTTTGGACAGCTTTATGTCATGACTTTCTGTAACAATTTTCTTTCATTTCATTCATATCTTTCATTTCATTCATTTCTTTCATTTCTTTGTCTGAAATCGTCCTATAACATAGCTAGTATTCAGCCAGGGTTACGGTAACCGGGCTACAGTATCATACCTCAAAATACATCCCAATTCTTCGTTGAGATACCGGTGAAATCGGTAGAATTGCGTCGGAGAGCGATGGTTGCGCCTGGAAATGGGATTGAATTTGATTTTGAAAGAATTATAGTCGTGAGATCGTTTGTTTTAAAGTTTTTAAGTTTTTGCCATATTTACCTGATCAGGGAAAATTCCGCGCACAATTTTATTTGATGAAAAGAGAAGGAAATCGATCGACGGAATGCAGCGATGACCATCGACAAGGCGCTGAAAAACGGTGATAGATAAAAGTTTGAAAATGATTGAAAAGGCTTTAGATAATAGATTTAATAGATAATGGATTTATTTTTAATCTCTTACATGTCCAATATTGCAGGCACATTTATAGCCAACACCGAAACCGGAGGCGTCTTTTGATAGGAGACAAATTTGCTCACAGTCTGCTGCATGGCATGGGTTCTCGATCTGGAAATTTTGATTTTCAAATCGACTTTGCACTTCTAGTACTTCGTACAAAGATATTATAGTACTTTGTTGAATATCTCAAGAAGAAAGCCAAGTATCTAAGCCAAGTCTAGAGTTCTGGCTGGCAGGTATTTCTGGCAGGTATTTTTGGACTTCAAGCCTCAACTAGCTCCTACTCCTGGTCTGACTTCTGTCCTGACCTTGCCAGAGATTCTGATTCTTTAGATTTGCAAGCCCAGACCCAGATACTTTTGTTTAGATACAGCTCCAGCTCCAGATCTAGCTCCAAATCCAGCTCCAGCTCTAGATCCAGATCCAGATCTAGCTCCAGATCTAGCTCCAGCTCCAGATCTAGCTCCAGATCCAACTCCAAATCCAGCTCCGGCTCTAGATCCAGCTCCAGGTCCAGCTCCATCTCTAGATCCAGATCCAGCTCCAGATCCAGATCCAGCTCCAGCTCTAGATCCAGCTCCAGATCTAGCTCCAGATCCAGCTCCAAATCCAGCTTAGAGTTGTTCCAAGAACATTTCCAAATCAAAGCTAGAATTGGATTATTTTATGGGTTTGGGCTGATACTACAAATCCTGGGATTCGAACCCTCCCGCTTCTCAGAATTCTTGCTTACTGCGCTAACTCTCTACCAATGAGCTGTTTCCCATTGCCACCAAGAAGCCTTATGCCTCTAGAATCTAGCTAGAACCGACTCCATTTTGGTCTGTTTTAAGTCCAGTTTTGGTTCACAAAAGTCCTGGGCCTGTCCACGGTAATCCTTATCTACTTATCTACAGTAATCCTGGCCCTTGCCTACTTATCCTAATCGTGAGTCCTTCTTGCCTACAGTAATCCTACAGTCATCTACGAAATCCTTTGCCCACCTTCATCCCGAGACAAGCGGCTTGTCCCGGTCCCGGCTGTGCCATCTCGTGATACGCCGAGACACCCATCGGGAACACGTTGTTCTCCTTTTTCGTCCTAGATTTCAATTTTCTTTTAAAAACTTAGCTTCAATGGAAAAAGAGCTTTAGATCTGATCACTCACCAAATCATCTCAGTCGGTGATCCAAATTTCTCGACTTTCACCACCCCCAAACGTGTCCAATCCGACCAATAGAGATACTGATCGAAGAGAGCCAAACCGAATGGATGTGGCACGTTGGTCATGCCTAGAAAGATAATCTGTTTGATGACTCCTTTTAGATGACTCAAGAGCTACCGTATCCCTTTAGATGGCTCAAGATCTACCGTACTCCCTTTAGATGGCTCAAGAGCTACCGTACTACTCTTAGATGGTTCAAGAGCTACCGTATCCCTTTAGATGGCTCAAGATCTACTGTACTCCATTTAGATGACTCAAGAGCTACCGTACTCCCTTTAGATGGCTCATGAGCTACCGTATTCCTTTAGATGGCTCAAGAGCTACCGTACTACTCTTAGATGGCTCAAGATCTACTGTATCCAATCTCCATAAAAACATACTAATACGAGCATTACGGTAACTTGGATTAGGATTTAATCACCCACAAAATCTTTTTAAACTTTTCCTTACCTTGAGCAACGACGCGTCGATCATTTCCCATGTAATCGATTGATTCAACTCGATCGACTTTTGGATCAACCCAATAGACACGTTTTGCTGGGATATCCACTGAAAAATAAATTAATCAAATACTTAGAGTAATTGTTTTTTTTTTTATAGATTTCAAGATTCTTAGTTGTACCTATTTAAGTGGAAATAAAGAAGGTAAGCCTCACCAACGATGCCGGAAACTTGATGAGTGTGAGTGCTGACGAGAACTCGCCGCCTTGATCCGTCCATAGCGCATCCCTCGATGTTGAATTGATTCGTGAAAAACATTTCACTGAAAAGAGCACTTTTATTGTAAAACTTGAAATTTTTGCCCGCAAACTCTAGTGTGCCTTCCAGCTTGAAAGATCCTGTTCGAAAAATTTTATCTCCTTTCAAAAGAAACCCGCAAAACGTCGCCGAACTTTTCTTTGAATTATAGCAAAATTTAAATTTTTGTTTAAATGAGCTGAATTTGATTTTAAATTCCACTGTGCCTTCCAGCTTGGAAGAGCTTGTTCGCAAAATTTTATCAACTGTCAAAAGAACCGTAGAATCGTAGCCTAACGTTTCCTTGGTTTAAAGCAAAAATTTAAAATCTTCCTTAAATGAGCTGAATTTCGTTTTAAATTCCACTGTGCCTTCCAGGATTGCCGAAAATTGATTTGAAAATCCCGGGGGAGTCGGCTATCCATACTTGCGTCACCCAAAAACGAGGACAAGAAAACGGTGTTGACGTAGAAATGTGAGTGATCCGGGAATTTTTTGCCGCAAAATCCACTGTGCCTTCCAGCTTGGAAGAGCTTGTTCGCAAAATTTTATCAACTGTCAAAAGAACCGTAAAATCGTAGCCCAAAGTTTCCTTGCTTTAAAGCAAAATTTAAAATCTTCCCCAATTGAGCTGAATTTTATCTCAAATCCCGTTGTGCCTTCCAGGATTGCCGAAAATTGTTTTGAAAATCCCGGGGGAGTCGGCTATCCATACTTGCATCACCCAAAAACGACGACAAGAACACGGTGTTGACGTCGAAATGCGAGTGACCCGAGAATTTTTTGTCGCAAAATCCACTGTGCCTTCCAGCTTGGAAGATCTTGTTTACAAAATTTTATCAACTCTCGAAATAGCTCGTAAATCGTAGCCTAAAGTTTCCTTGCTTTAAAGCAAAAATTTAAACTCTTCCCCAATTGAGCTAAATTTTATCCCAAATCCCAGTGTGCCTTCCAGGATTGCCAAAAATTCGCTTGAAAATTGAAACAAAGCATTGGAGTCAATAAAAAGTAGCCTAGACTAGTTATTACTAGAAAAGAAAGAGAGAACTTTCTTAATGGTCTTAAAATGTATCCAAGTAACTCAAAAACGTACCCTCTTAACGGATCAAGAGCCAAATCAAGTGGTAAAGTCAATCCATCAGCGAGGAGAACCGTTCGACTCATTCCCTCGTAATCAGTGACATCAATTCGACGAGAGCCCGACTCGATGATGTACAATTTGTTTGTGATCCAATCGACAGCCAATGATCGCGGAAAGAGCAGGGATTTCAGGCCCAGCTTGCTAGAATCTCTCGTTTAAAATCATAGAAACAATTTTTGATAGAAAAATTGCTTTTTCAATAGTAGGATGACTAATTTAAGACTAATTTAAAACTAATTTTGAACTTTACATTTCTTGAACAGATTTGAGTAGAGGTTATTGGGATCTAGACTAGGACTGAGCTAGACTAGAACTGAGCTAGACTAGGACTGAGCTAGTCTAGGATCGAGCTAGATTAGGACTGAGCTAGTCTAGGATCGAGCTAGACTAGGACTGAGCTAGATTAGGACTGAGCTAGTCTAGGATCGAGCTAGATTAGGACTGAGCTAGTCTAGGATCGAGCCAGATTAGGACTGAGCTAGTCTAGGATCGAGCTAGATTCGGACTGAGCTAGTCTAGGATCGAGCCAGACTAGGACTGAGCTAGTCTAGGATCGAGCTAGACTAGGACTGAGCTAGATTAGGACTGAGCTAGTCTAGGATCGAGCTAGATTAGGACTGAGCTAGTCTAGGATCGAGCTAGATTAGGACTGAGCTAGTCTAGGATCGAGCTAGATTAGGACTGAGCTAGACTAGGACTGAGTTAGACTAGGATCGAGCCAGACTAGGACTGAGCTAGTCTAGGATCGAGCTAGACTAGGACTGAGCTAGATTAGGACTGAGCTAGTCTAGGATCGAGCTAGATTAGGACTGAGCTAGACTAGGAATGAGTTAGACTAGGATCGAGCTATAGGACCGAGCTAGACTAGGACCATGTCAGGATTAATCCAGTACTACCCGTCCAGGGTTAGGACCGAAAGGTCAAGACCAGGGATCCAATACTAGGACCAGGACCAGGCCAGAATTGATCCGATACTAGAACCAGATCAGAAACCAGATCTATCATCATTGCTTTAAACTTATCATTTCATTTTTGATCTCTGGCCAGAGTGACCAGGAATTCCCTTTCTTTCCTAATTTGAGGCTAGTTATTTTTTAACAAGTCTTTTTAAACGATTTCTGGAAGGATTCTGGAAGGATTCTGGAAGGATTTCTGGTCACTTGTATAACAATTTTATAAAACTTTTCTGTGCCCAACCTGATCTGTGACACTTCTCCTTTATCATCAATAGTCGCTGAATAAGCGGCATGGGTTAATCGATCAGTCCAGAAGATTTTCCGATCACTGTAATCGAAATCGACGCTGTAGATGAACTCACCATCGGCTACTTTCACCGCATCATCGTTTGGACCATTGGGATTGATTCTAGAAAGTATTTCTGAGCAATAAGCAATCATTATTGCAGTAATAAGCAATAAGCAATCATTTCTGAGTATTCTGACTCCTATATAAGCTTCTAATATTGTATTGATGTATTGTATATCGTATTGATGAGTTTCGTAAACTTTATCGAGTTCTGTAGAAACGATTTTCAAACCTGTAAAGTCCCTCACGTCTCGCGACGAATAGCTTCAACTTTTCGGCGTCTTTCGAAATACAATAGCCACGAAGGGTCTGATTGTCCTAAAGATTTAGGCTAGCTAGATTCTTTTACATTAGGCTAGCTAGATTCTAGCTTACTTTTCCAGGTCCATGCATCATTTGCATTGTGTAGCAATCGCCTAGACAAGAGCACGTGAAGCCCGGGCGATGATTCGCGCAGAGTTGATCGCAAAATCCGAACTCTGCACATTCATTGATATCTAAAGAAAGCTTTTATAAAGTTTCAAATGTCAATTTCGATTTTGGCTGGCTGGCTTGGCTGGCTGGCTGGCCAAATCCATAGTTTAAAGGCTTCAAGTTTGTCTAAATAGCTGACTATTGGAGAAGGAAAAGGCTTTAGAAGAAGCCTTTAGAAAAAGCTGGCAAAATATTGTAAAACTTGAAATTTTTGTCGCAAACTCTAGTGTGCCTTCCAGCTTGGAAGATCCTGTTCAAAAAATTGTATCTCCTTTTAAAAGAACCCGTAAAACGTCGCCGAACTTTTCTTTGAATTAGAGCAAAATTTAAATTTTTGCTTAAATGAGCTGAATTTGATTTTAAATTCCACTGTGCCTTCCAGCTTGGAAGATCCTGTTCGGAAAATTTTATCAACTGTCAAAAGAACCGTAAAATCGTAGCCCAAAGTTTCCTTGCTTTAAAGCAAAATTTTAAATCTTCCCCAAATGAGCTGAATTTTATCTCAAATCCCGTTGTGCCTTCCAGGATTGCCGAAAATTGATTTGAAAATCCCGGGGGAGTCGGCTATCCAGACTTGCGTCACCCAAAAACGAGGACAAGAACAGGGTGTTGACGTAGAAATGTGAGTGACCCCGGGAATTTTTTGCCGAAAAATCCACTGTGCCTTCCAGCTTGGAAGATCCCGTTGGAAAAATTTTATCAACTGTCAAAAGAACCGTAAAATCGTAGCCTAACGTTTCCTTGCTTTAAAGCAAAATTTTAAATCTTCCTCAAATGAGCTGAATTTTATCTCAAATCCCGTTGTGCCTCCCAGGATTGCGAAAAATTCATTTGAAAATGGAAACTAGTGCCTAAAATTGCCTCAAAAACCCTACCCAGACAACTCCTATGAAAAGCCTGATCCAATTCGTATCCCTCTGGACACGTGCACTTTCCACCATGGGGCGACGAGTGACATCCAGCTTGACAACCCAACGAATCGCACAGATTATCAGCTGGAAAAGATGTATGTTTTTTGAAGGCTGGTTGAATCTGCTAATTGAATCTGCTCCATTCAACGATACTCACTGCAATTTTTCTCATCCGCTCCATCGAAGCAATCATTTGTGCCATCACAGAGTTTCATATCATCGATGCAGTGACCTAGAAATGGGTTATTCAATAAAATGAATAGCTCCAATCGATTGCCCGTGCCCTGGGTACAAATTCATAGCTGAATATCTTTTTACAAAGCAAGAGAAAGAATTTCTGTGTGTTCTTTGTACAGCGACGTAATCGCTCCCCATCTTGCGCCGTTTTGGTATATAAGACTTGATTTCAGAATTTTCAGAAATGGATTTCGTTGGATTTCGAAAGAAGAACAGAGATTTAACAAAAACGCTTTGGCGGTCTATTTCAAGCGTTTACAAGCTGCTGGATCAGATGCCCTGTTGGCCCAGTGGATAAGAGGGTTGTCTCTAAGGCGATCGGGTCACGCTTTTGCTCGGGTTCGATTCCTTTCATGGTAGAATTTTGGTTTTTGCTTTTTCAGTGATTTCTGGGTCTTGGGTGATGTAATCGCAAACGATCTGGCAAACTAAAAAGGCTGTTAGTTTCAGTGTAAAGTCTAATAGTGCCTCTAATAGTACCTCTAATAGTAAGGGATGAAAACGCAGTGAGTAACTGAGCCTAAGCCTAGGCCAGCTAGCCAGCTAGGCCAGCTAGCCAGGCCAGCCAGGCCAGCTAGCCGTCATTATGCCCAGTTTCTTGGACAAATATAGCTAAATTCTTGCCTTGAATTTAGCTCTATATCTGCCACAAATTCTAGAACCTTTTAAACCATTCTTTCGCTTAAAAAGCAACTAAAATGAGAGACAAAAAAGGAGAAGAAATCGTAGATTTTCTCTCTCGTTTTTCTCATGATTGGTAAATCGAATTGGCCTCTATTTGGTCTCTCTTTAAACCCCCAAAATCTCCTCTTTAAATCCCTATCAAAATTTCAGCATAAAGTACAGCATAAAGTACAGGTAAAAGTGCAGTTTCCTCTCTACTCACCACTTCCAGGGCAATGCCATCTCCCAGGCGGACATCGATACTCTCCACAGTCCTCTTCGTCGGAGTTGTCTCCTGTAAAAGGTAGAAAGTCATTTGTTTATGGAAAAAGTAGAGTTTTTGTTGTTTTAAATGATAAAAAGATGGAAAATTGATGAAATTGAGTAAAAATTGGAGAAAAATTGAAGAAATTGAAGAAGCTGAAGAAAATTCTCCTATTCTCCTATTACTGGCTTAGCTTTTTTGATATAAAGACTTTCAAAAAACTCACCACAATCATCATAGTAATCACAGCGGAATTTCCTTGGCTGACACCGTTTATTTTTGCATTGAAATTCGGACGCCGAGCATTGCTTGAATTCGCACGTTTCCGGCTCGTCACTCCCGTCAGCGCAATCTTTTGATCCATCGCAAATCCAGTTTTTCTGAGAGTTCATGGTATAAATGATAGCGAATTTCTACAGTAATCTATAACTGGCACTCACTGGCATCGATTTTTAAATCACTAAGAGATCTAGACTAGGCTTAGGCTTAGGCTTAGGCTTAGGCTTAGGCTTAGGCTTAGGCTTAGCTTAGGCTCAAGCTCAAGGCTTAGGCTTGTCTTATTGTCTGATTTTGAAAGCCCCATCATGCAGATTGATGGTAAAATCCAACCGTAGATCCAACCAGGCTCTTGGCCTAAGCCTAAGCCTAAGCCCCTAAGCCTAAGCCTAAGCCCTAAGCCTAAGCCTAAGCCTAAGCTAAGCCCTAGGCCTAAGCCCTAAGCCTAAGCCTTTTTGAGAATTAGGCTTTTGAATGACACAAAGATTAGGATAACTTTAGACTTCTGAATGTTCTTGCCGTTGAGATCTAACGTTTTTTTCCAGGCACGAGACTAAAAACAGCTATAAATTGAAGGAAAAACGATGAATTTACTTGATTTTGGTGTCATTCAAAAGCCTAATTCTTTCGTAAAAAAAATTTCTCAAAAATCTGCGCGTTTCTACAGGTTTGTTTTCTGGTCTTGTAGTTTGGAGTTGTCTAATCATGCTAGGTGATAATGAAGGAATTGGGGAGAGGAAATTGAACCCTCGACCGGGCAATTGCGCTAATCACTGAGCTATTCGGTGCCTTGAATGGCCAAGAGAAAGAGGGAAAGGCAAGGGAGAGAAGAAAGGAAGAAGAAAGAAAGAAGGACAAGGAGGAAGAAGAAAGCTGGCGATGCTGTGGACGATTGTATGCAGCCTATAGTACTAGTTCTGTACTATTCTATGCAGTCTATAGTCTATAGTACTAGTACGATAGTCTACAGTACTAGTACTATAGACTATTTCTACAAGCTAGCCACTAGGTAGTGTAGTTTTCTCAACGAAATCTTTCTCACTCACTTGAATACATTGTGTTCCATCAGCGCATCGGAATTGATATTGAAAGCAAGCTTTGTGATTCTGATTGCACGTGTCCTAGAATTCATATTTCTTCGTCAGAAAGTACTAGAAGTACTAGAAGTACTAGAAGTACTAGATGTACTAGAAGTACTAGAAGTGCTAGAAGTACTAGAAGTACTAGAAGTACTAGAAGTACTAGATCTACTAGATCTACTAGATGTACTAGATGTACTAGATGTACTAGATGTACTACTTGTTCATCGGATAAATCCCGACAATCATAGACACCGTCACAATGTTTGCTTTGTGGAAAGCATTGACGCCCGTCAGCGCACGCAAAAACCCCAGATGAAGAGCATTGAACAGCTGGCGCGGCTAAAATAGAAATCATTTAGAAAAGCGGATTTCAAAAATTCTATTTCCTTTATACATTATGTACTTTCTGCTTAAAAAGCAATAAATCTAGTCCACTGAATTCTTCATTTTTCTTCATCATCATGATTGGAAAAGTGATAATCATGATTGGAGAAATTTCAGGCAAATTCCAGGCATTTCAGGCAAATCCTCGACCTGATCTTCGTGCACGAATTTGATCAATGGGACGCCGAGTCCCAGGGAGTTGGCCATCAAGACCAGACACAAGGACAAGAACACGGTGTTGACGTAGAAATGTGAGTGAACCGGGAATTTTTTGTCGCAAGATCCAGTGTGCCTTCCAGCTTGCAAGATCTCAATCGCAAAATTTTATCAGCTTTCAAAAGAACCGTAGAATCGTAGCATAATGTTTCGTTGATTAGTAGGGAACTTTAAAATCCTTCTCAAATGAGCTGAATTTCGTTTTAAATCCCGTTGTGCCTTCCAGGATTGCCAGAAATTGACTTGAAAATCCCGGGGAGTCGACTATCCAGACTTGCATCACCCAAAAACGAGGACAAGAACACGGTGTTGACGTACAAATATGAGTGATCCGGGAATTTTTTGTCGCAAAATCCACTGTGACTTCCAGCTTGCAAGATCTTGTTCGCAAAATTTTATCAGCTTTCAAAAGAACCGTAGAATCGTGGCCTAACATTTCCTTGCTTTAAGGCAGAATTCAAAATTCTCCTCAAATGAGCTGAATTTGATCTCAAATCCCGTTGTGCCTTCCAGGATTGCCGGAAATTGATTTGAAGATCCCGGGGAGTCGACTATGCAGACTTACATGACCCAAAAACGAGGACAAGAAAACGGTGTTGCCGTAGACGTGTGAGTGACCCGAGTATTTTTGTCGCAAAATCCACTGTGACTTCCAGCTTGCAAGATCTTGTTCGCAAAATTTTATCAGCTTTCAAAAGAACCGTAGAATCGTGGCCTAACATTTCCTTGCTTTAAGGCAGAATTCAAAATTCTTCTCAAATGAGCTGAATTTGATCTCAAATCCCGTTGTGCCTTCCAGGATTGCCAAAAATTTACTTGAAAATAAAAATGAAGAATTCAGTGCGCTAGAAAGGGCGCGTTTACATTCTTGAGCTCAAACTATTCACTATCTACAGTAGTTTTATTCCTAAAAAAAGCACTCACGACAATCCTTCTCATCCGAGCCATCGTGACAATCGGTGATGTTATCGCATCTGGAAATGGCTCATAAATACTTTAATAGAAGGCCATCTCCTTGTGCAATCACCTAGTCATTAGAAAATCATTTTTTTCTTAGCTCCTAGATTTTAAACTAATTAAACTTTTGATATCAAAAAATACTAGAATTGAAGGGCTATTATTTGACTCAGGCTCCGAATCGTTGAACATTGGCGAGCCTGAGCCTGAGCCTTAAGCAAACTATAGCATAAAGTAGCGCAGAGAACGAGACGTTCAAAGTTCGACTACGCGATTGTACACCGGTAAAAGAGCTGTATCTGTTTGTACGCACTCCTCCGCGGTCAGTGGGCCACTGGGCCAGTGGGCCATTTCAAATAACTTATAGTTAGTTTAGCTTAGAATTCTATGTAGTTATGCAAGGTGAAAATTGAAAAAAAGGAAAAAAGCCGACACGACCGGGAGTCGAACCCGTGTCGTCTGGGCTAGAGACAAGAGCCCTCGCACTGCACCATCTACAGAGTATGGAGGATCGTCTGAACTAGAGACAAGTGGGTTGCACTGGCTCGAACGAGTGGCCGGGTGGCCGAATGGCTGAGTGGCCGGGTGGCCGAGTGGTTAACGCGTGCGTCTCTAAAACGAACGGGGGGGAGAGGGGGTCGCTGGTTCGACTCCTCTCGGCGCCAATTCTTACGCCAAAGTCGATTTTTCTTGTTTCATTCACAACTTTCTTCTTTTACCTTTGATATTCAGCTATACAGCTGATCGAATGGAACTCGTATTTGTCGCATTGCCATTGATCATTTTTACAGCCGGGATGAGCTGGAAAAAAGAAGTTTTTACAGTGTTTTACTGGGTTAAGCGTTGTGTTTTTGATCTATAATTGAAATAGAATTAAATCTAGATATAATAACAAAGCTTTTATTGCTAATCGACTTAAAATTTGATCTAAAAAAGCGAAAAAGATGTTTGAAAAACAAAAAAACGAAATTTTCGACAGAATTTTTGGGTTTTAAATGAAAAAATCGAGATTTTAACGAGAAAAATGGTTGTTTTGTGGGTTTATTTTATAGCTATTTATTGGAAGAGAACGAGAAAAACGAAGGAAAACGGAAAACTAAAAAGGAAAACTAAAGAAAATCGCGAAAAGCGGCGGAAAAGCTATTGATCTGAGGGTCGCTGGTTCGACTTCCACCGGTGACAATATTTTTCAAAAAATTTTTGCTAACATTCTGAAAATGCGTGTCTAGGGGTTATTTTGGACGCTGATCACGAAAAACATGTTTTTAGCCTAGGTTTCTGCACGGAAAACTAACGAAACGTGAAAAAAAAGCCATTTTTTGGCTTTTTTCGCTCTGACTTTACTAAAATAGCTGTAAAAACTTTTAGAAAAGAGATATCTCAAAATGGTTTTTACCAATCGATTCGTCTTGAATTCAGCTTTAGAATGAGCTAGAAAACTTCAAAATTGGACAGATTTAAGGGTCCCTTTGCCAAAAAATCGGAAAGCACTTTTTCATCAAAACAAAAAGATAAGAAAAAATCGAGATTTTAACGAGAACAATAGCTGTTTTGTGGGTTTATTTTATAGCTATAGATCTATTTAGATCGTTTAGATCGATCGTTGACCGATTTAGATCGTTTACCTTATTTTGATATGCGTTTTGTTTAGTTTAGCTTTTGTATCAAAACCCACGACAATCTTTTTCATCCTCTCCACCCGCACAATCGCCCGATCCATCGCAACGCCACTCAGCTCTCACACATTTACCATCGTTGCATCTAAAGAGAGGGGACAAATGAATGTTTAATGATGATGAAATGATCAGAAATGATCAGAAATGATGCTGAAATTGTTCTACCTGAAATCTCCTTCATTACAATTCGCATTTCCATTCGAGACGATCGCCGAGATGGCGCCCGAATGGAGACGAGATGTTGCTGAGATTGGGGAATCAACTGAAACAGGAATCATCATTTTCATCAATAAATTCTTTAAAATCAATAGCGCCAATCGATTCCCCGTTCCCGAAAACCCTTGGATACAAATTTAAATCTGAATTTCTTTTTATACCATTTACAAGCTTCTTTTTGCTTTACAAAGTTCTTTGTGCTTTGCTTTTCTTTATGCGACCACGTAACACTCGCCTTCTGGCACACCGCTTCCGTATAGGAGGCTTCCCTTTGTCGAATCCGTAAATTTGGAAAAAGCTGACTTTGCGATGAGCTGACTTTGCTACTTTTGGGCGTGCTTAAAATCGCAAAGCCAGCTCATCGTTTGCTCACTATGCTCAAATCTCAAACGACCAATCGTTGCCTTGGCTTTGGCGTTTATTTTTCCCGCAAATTCTACCGCAAATACTATTCCTTTCGAAACAGCAATCGAAATGCGGACTTTTGGTTGTTTGATTTTCTCCTGATTCGTTAGAGAAAAGAGTTTCATTTTGATATCACTTTAAAGAGAAAAGGGTTCTCTTTAAAACTCTATCAAGAGTTAGCAAGAATATCATCTTTATTCATCACTTTAATTGAAATGAAATGATTTAAATGAATCAAATGAATCAAATGAACCAAATGAACCAAATGAATCAAATGAACCAAATGAATCAAATGAACCAAATAAACCAAATGAATCAAATGAACCAAATGAACCAAATGAACCAAATGAACCAAATGAACCAAATGAACCAAATGAACCAAATGAATCAAATGAACCAAATGAATCAAATGAACCAAATGAATCAAATGAACCAAATGAACCAAATGAACCAAATGAACCAAATGAACCAAATGAACCAAATGAACCAAATGAACCAAATGAATCAAATGAACCAAATGAATCAAATGAACCAAATGAATCAAATGAACCAAATGAACCAAATGATTCAAATGAACCAAATGATTCAAATGAACCAAATCAAATCAATCAAATCAATCAAATAAAACTATCAAATTCCCTACTTAATTTCAAAATTTCTCTTTATAAAAAGCTATTTTATTGCTCAATTTCGTTTGACAATTTAACGGTATTGAAATAGGGAAGAAAAAAGAGGCGATCAATGAGCCAGAAACGGTGTGTTTTGGTCGTAAAAAAGCTCCACTTGAATGGTAACTACTTTGTATTTTGTGCTCGAGGCTTGTAAACGTTCGTTTTCTAGCTGAATTCTCTGATTTTTTTTTTGAGGAATTCAGTGGATTTTGGTTCTGGCATAAAGTACAGAATGAGTTAAGCGTTTAAGGTTTTCAAATCTTTTGAGTAACTCATTGAAAAGCCTTGTACCTTGTAGCCTTGTAACCCTTGTACCTTTTAGCCTTGTAACCCTTGTACCTTGTAGCCTTGTAAACCTTGTACCTTGTAGCCTTGTACCTTGTAGCCTTGTAGCCTTGTACCTTGTAAACCTTGTAGCCTTGTAGCCTTGTAGCCTTGTACCTTGTACCTTGTAGCCTTGTACCTTGTAGCCTTGTACCTTGTACCTTGTAGCCTTGTACCTTGCAGCCTTGCAGCCTTGTAGCCTTGTACCTTGTACCTTGTAGCCTTGTACCTTGCAGCCTTGTAGCCTTGTAGCCTTGTACCTTGTAGCCTTGTAACCCTTGTAGCCTTGTAGCCTTGTACCTTGCAGCCTTGTAACCCTTGTACCTTGTAACCTTGTAGCCTTGTAACCTTATAAACCTTGTACCTTGTAAAATGTAAAAACAAACCTTGTATGTGATGCGCTGTCGAGATTTGATTTGTTGTATGTAGAAAGAGGAAAAATAACAAAATCTTAGTAAATAGTTGTCGCATTGTGCCGGGATCGCATCGAGTTTGATGAACAAAATGAATGAATAGAAGATGAATAGGAGAATTGAAATGAGGTGAAACCTGGAAACATCTTTTCTTTCAAATCTTTTCTTTGGAAAACTGAATCCGAAAATTTTCAAGAGAAAAACAGAGAAATTGAAGAACTGTATAGAATTTGAATGCAATTGTGCTTAAATCTGTAAACGCCTCCTTCCTGGCGCTGAATGCGATCTTTCTTGTGCAATCAGTATTCCAGAAATGAGTGTGCCAGAAAGGATATGTTTGGATTCAAAAAGGAAAGATCTTTGCCACCAGCAGGAGTCGAACCTGCGACCTTTGAAATGGGGCTGTCTTTGAAACCAATGCTCTACCGATTGAGCTCTAGCTGCAGGCTTTCCTTCCCCAGAAAAGACATTTTTAAAAAGTCTTGAGCTCAAAGTTAAAACAAAAATCTTTGTCATTGGCAGGGGTCGAACCTGCGACCCTTGCGGCTGGGATCGCCTTGTGACCAATGCTCTAACCGACTGAGCTATAGCTGCACGTTTCCCTTTGCCCAGAAAGGGCTTTTTAAGGTTTTCAGCTCCAAGTGAAAAACAAAAATCACTATCCGGGGTCGAACCTGCGACTCTTGCGGCTGGGATCGCCTGGAGACCAATGCTCTAACCGACTGAGCTATAGCTGCAGGTTTCCTTTCCCCCAGAAAGGGCGTTTTTAACAAGCTTTAAGCTCAAAGTTAAAAAACAAGAATCTTTGTCACCAGCGGGGGTCGAACCTTCGACCTCTGAAAGCCGGTTGCCCTCTGGACCAATGCTCTAACCGACTGAGCTATGGCTGCACGGCCGCTCTCCCTCAAAAAAGGGTGTTTTAACAAGTGTTTAATTGAAACCCACTGACAATGATTACTGTGATCAAAAGGAAAAGATCTTGTGATGTACTTTGCGCTCAAAGCTTGTAAACACAGCCTTTCTAATGCACTTTATTTTTTAGCTAAGCACGAGAGATGACAATTTCTAGTGCTTTCAATGCTCTAGAGAGAGGGTTTCTTTCAAATTTAATTCTTCTTTGTTTGTTCACAGAAATTGTTTCTTTTTCAAAACAACTGTCAAAAAGCAGAATCGATTTCTTTCCAAGAAATGCAGTGCACCAGAAAGGGGTACGTTTGCAGATTTAAGTATAAAGTACACATGATTTTGCATTGATTAGTAAAGAAAAGAGTAAAGAAAAGAATCCTACTCAAAAATCTCTAATCAACAATTTTTTTTCGAGTATTTTCGTTGAAGAGAAATTTTCAATTAGAGAAATTCGAGTAATTATTTCATTTTTTTTTTTTTGTTTTAAAGGATCAAAAAATGGATTCAAAGCGAAAATCCAAATAAAATCTCTGTCATAAATCAAGAAAAGAAACGAATCAAATAGATCTTTTACTTGAAATGAAATTTTTAATGAAAACTCATTTAAATCTGAGTCATTTAAACCCAAATCGTGCTCGATCTTAGGAAATGATATCATTAGAAAATGGAAAAACAATTTTGTCATTCAAAAACAATCAAAAATCGTTTGGTTACCAGTTTGACAAGGGGACAAGAGCATGCTTTTGAAATCCCTTTGCTCTTGGCTTTGAAATATGAATTAGAAACTCTAGCTTGAAAATTGATAGCCATAGCTCGCTGCTTATCCCGACAGAAAGATCCTTCAACTTATCCAGAAAGAAAGATTTCGAGACTAAATTAGAGCTTCCATGGCAGCTCTAAAGGCTTCTAAGGGCTTCCATGGCAGCTCTAAAGGCTTCTAAGGGCTTCCATGGCAGCTCTAAAGGCTTCTAAGGGCTTCCATGGCAGCTCTAAAGGCTTCTAAGGGCTTCCATGGCAGCTCTAAAGGCTTCTAAGGGCTTCCATGGCAGCTCTAAAGGCTTCTAAGGGCTTCCATGGCAGCTCTAAAGGCTTCTAAAGGCTTCTACGGCAGCTCTAAAGGCTTCTAAGGGCTTCCATGGCAGCTCTAAAGGCTTCTAAAGGCTTCTACGGCAGCTCTAAAGGCTTCCATGACAGCTCTAAAGGCTTCTAAGGGCTTCCATGGCACCATGGCAGCTCTAAAGGCTTCTAAAGGCTTCTAAAAGCTTCCATGACAGCTCTAAAGGCTTCTAAGGGCTTCCATGGCAGATCTAAAGGCTTCTAAAGGCTTCTAAAAGCTTCCATGGCAGATCTAAAGGCTTCTAAAGGCTTCTACGGCAGCTCTAAAGGCTTCCATGACAGCTCTAAAGGCTTCTAAAAGCTTCCATGGCAGCTCTAAAGGCTTCTAAGGGCTTCCATGGCAGATCTAAAGGCTTATAAAGATCCTTAGTTAGGTCCAGGTCTTGAGTTAGATCCTTAATTAGATCCAGATCTCCAAATCTCAAAAGAAATAATCAAAAAAAATCAATCACAAATCAAAAAAAGCAAAATCTAAATCTGGACCAGCTGAAACTAATCAAATAAACTAGGAAAAGACAAAAAATAAAATGAAATCGGTATTGTGAATGAGAAAGAATTGACTTTGTAAAAGAAGTCTGTAAATAAAATGTTTTGAAATTTGAAATTTCGAACATTTCGTTGAATTTCATTTCATTTCATTTCGATATCATATGATTATGATTGAGTGATATTTTGATTTGGTTGGGGAAAAGGTTTCTTCGGAAAGTTGAGTTGTTTGGATTGGATTGGATTTGAAAGGAAATATTTCTAAATAAACTGATTCCATTGGTGGAACAGAACAGATAAATCAAGTCTATCCGTTGATGAGTTTTTTTTCCGCAAAAATTTTCACGAGACAAATAACTTTCGAAATTTTTGGGGAAAAGATCCGAGAGAATTGTCGATTGAAAATTCGATAAAAGCGATGAGCTTGAGCCCTTTTTGTCCTAAAGGATCCAAAGGAAAACGCATTCGCATTTAAATTTCATTTTTCTTCACGAAAGTCATTGCTTAGAGCAGAGACACTAAAAAGTCAGAAATTTTTCCGTAATCCTTTTTCTATTTGTTTTTCATCTGATTAAGCTATTTACAGTTTTCTAATGATTAAAAATGGTTTAAAATGGTTTAAAATAGTTTAAAATGGTTTAAAATGGCCAAAAATGGTTAAAAATTATCAACAAATGGGTAAAAAAGGGTTAAAAATGGTTAAAAATGATCAAAAATCGTCAAAAATCATCAAAAATCGTAAAAAAAATCGTTAAAATGATCAAAAAAATGATTCAGAATGAATAAAAAATGGCCAAAAATGGTTAAAAATGATCAAAAATGGTTTAAAATGATCAAAAATGGTTTAAAATGACCAAAAATGGCTAAAAATGATCAAAAATGATCAAAAATTGGTCAAAAATGGTTAAAAATGGTCAAAAATGATCAAAAAATTTTTTTAAATGTTTAAAAATGGTTAAAAATGGTTAAAATGGTCAAAAATGATCAAAAAGATGGTCCAAAATGGCCAAAAATGGTTAAAAATTATCAACAAATGGGCAAAAAGGGCTAAAAATGGTTTAAAATGATCAAAAATGATCAAAAATGATCAAAAATGATCAAAAATGGTCCAAAAATAGTCAAAAAATGGTCAAAAATGGTCAAAAATGATTAAAAATAATCATTTTCAATTAAAAATGATCATTCTTACTCAAAAAAATTAATCCTCTACGCTAGAAAGGACGTGTTTACAGTTTTAAGTACAAAGTACACTCTAAAGAACGCGAAAGATCAAAGAAGAAGAAAAACGGGAAGAAAATGAGCTTAAAGAAAGATTTGGCAGTGATTGGTGTGACGATGAGTCGCCAAAATACAATAAGACACTAGAAATACCGTACCCTAGACAATGTCGCACTCAGCCACGACCGCCTTTTTTCTCATTTGGTCACAATTTTTTTCTCATTTTTTTCTTCAAATTTGTTTTCTTTTGTTTTAGAGATAATTTTTATTAAAGTGATTGTTTCTTTTTCGTTTTGGCTTTAGAATAATGCTTATTAGCTGCTTATTGCTTATTGCTTATCGCTTATTGCTTATCGCTTATTGCTTGTTGCTCATCGCTTGTTGCTCATCGCTTGTTGCTCATCGCTTGTTGCTTATTGCTTATTGCTTATCGCTTATTGCTTATCGCTTATTGCTTGTTGCTCATCGCTTGTTGCTCATCGCTTGTTGCTTATTGCTTGTTGCTTATTGCTTATCGCTTATTGCTTATTGCTTATTGCTTATTGCTTATTGCTTGTTGCTTATTGCTTATTGCTTGTTGCTTGTTGCTTGTTGCTTGTTGCTTGTTGCTTGTTGCTTGTTGCTTATTGCTTATTAGCACAGCACAGCGCACCAACGCTTTCTTTAGACGTCGTTAAAACATTTTGAAACAATTTCCCTTCACTTTAATTAAATATTTGTATTATTCATTATTGTTTTGTTATTCATTATTGTTTTATTATTCATTATTGTTTTATTATTCATTATTGTTTTATTATTCATTATTGTTTTATTATTCATTCAAGCCGGTTCTTATTAATTCAAGAGCCAATTCTTATTACCATATTTCTTCGAATAGAAGACCGGGTAAAGAGTATCATCGCGTACTCCTGCGTAGCAGCCTTTTTGAGATTTCTTTTCTGCATAAAAGCTTTCAATCAAATTCTATAGGGCTGGAAAATGGCGCAAAAATACGACATGATCTAACAGATTTTTGAGCCATTTTCCAGCCCTATAGCATTTCATTGAAAGCTTTTATGCAGAAAAGAAATTTTAAAAAGGGCTGCTAGGAAGGCGTACGCGATGATACTCTTTACCCGGTCTTCTATTCGAAGAAATACGGTAATTCACTCTAGTAATTCGTTCGTTCAATATTTTTCTAGCTAGCTTAAGCTGTTAGTTTTAAGCAAATTGCTCCAATTTGCTTAAAACTAACGGCTTTAACTAACTAGAACTAACTCTGCTCTAGAGTTAAAGCTAAAGCAAAGAGCAAATTAGTTTTGATAATTGAAAAAGTAAGATCCTTTTACTAAG